TAGGCTGAGACGTCTGAGCGAATGAGTGAAAAATATTTTTTCCGAGAAGAATCAAGGCAAAATACGAGAGAGTAAAACTTTACAAGTGAGAGCCAATGAGAGCGAGGTCGAGAGAGGCAGAGGGAATTCAACTAAACAAAATTATCTTGAAAATTATTAGATAAATAATCAAAAAATTAAAATAATTTTCAATTTAGATATCTAATATTTATAAGAAAATTTGAAAGTTTTTCATAATCTATAATCAGTTTTTATTTTCAAACAAAAAGTCAAGAGACAATCATTATGACAACCTTTATGACAATCATTCGTACTCGTTCATCTTCTGTTTATTTACTTGCAATTGGTAAAATGAGTCTTTTCAAGAATTTAATTCTTTTTTCCCGAAGCAACAATGACAGGGATCTTCTTTGCTTTGGTTTTCATCATTCTGAACTTTATAAGAATAAAACGTTTATCAAAATTCATTGACGAACCTTCAAACACACGACTTGAAGATGAAAAACAAAGGTAAACAATAACAAAATTATCTGACTTCATTTACATTCGATTTCTATCACAAATTAAATGTGAGTATGTACGTACATACTCAACGTTTTACAGTAAAAACAACAACTTGGAGTTTTCAATCAAAAAGTTCAGGATTTGACGACTTCAAAGTTTGCTTGAAAATTTTTCTTTTTTAATTTTTAAGAATGTTCTCAGCATTTCTTTTATTCTATATTTGCGTCTTCAAAGCAAGTCAAAGAAAATAAACTAACATAAATGGTATGGAAATCTTTATAAATATTAATTGAGCAGTGTTAATTGTATTAATTGAATTTAAATTAAATTAATTAGAAATTAATATGATTTTCATCTGCTTTTTATGCTAATTTAATTTTTTATAACTAAGTATCAAATATTCATCAATTTATTTCGATGCTGCTTTGACTCTTCTGACTGAAAAACAAGAATACTTGTTCTAAAGACATTTGACTAATTATGAAATCACTTATTTCAATCTCATTTTGCATTTGAGTCATGGTGTTGAAAGCGGTAGACCATCTAAGATTAGTATCAGCAATGTGAAATGTAAGAATTTTCAAGTAACGTTCTTTGAGAATGGCAGAAGGAAATTTCTGATGAACTTCAGTTTTTATTTGATTTAACAATCCAATGTCGTCTTCGCGCTCCATTTTGACTGTTAAAATAAATCCTTTTGCGAATTTATTCTTGAGATGTTGAACTGAGCCCAAACATTTGAATTCTCCATCGACCATGATCGCAAGTCTTGTACAAAGTGCTTCAGTTTCTTCCATTCCGTGTGATGTTAGAACAATCGATTTCCCAGAATTTCTCGTTCGATTTATCATGTCCCAAAGTTTTCTTTTCGCTTTTGGATCCATAGCTGAAGAAGGTTCATCAAGAAATATGATTGATGGAGCTCCAATAAGTGAAATTGCAGTGCTCAACTTTCTTTTATTTCCTCCACTAAAAACTTTAGTTTTCTTGTGAAGATGTTGATAGAAGTCGAACTGAGAAGAGAGACTTTCAATAACTTCTTTAATTTCTTTCCTTGGAATCCCTCGAATCAAACAGAATATTTCCATATTCTCCTTTCCACTTAAGTCAAGTAACAAGGCATCGAATTGTGGACAATAACTCTTTTGAACCTTATCCGTTTGCTTATAGAAGCTGACGCCTTTCATCCAACCATCGCCAGAAGAAATTCTTTCGTCACCAATCATCATTTTGAAAGTTGTTGTCTTCCCAGCACCATTCACACCAATCAAGCCAAAACATTCAGTTGGCTCGACATCAAGATACAATTTATTAACAGCCACAAGATTGCCAAAAGCTTTTGAAAGTCCACGAAGAACTAAATTTCGTTCCAAAATTTCTGAGGATGAAAAACTTTTAACTTTTTCAACTTCTTGTTTCACATCATTGTCAATAACTTGATTTGTTGCCAATGGATTCGTGTGCATTTGCTTTCTAAGTTTGTAGCTAATCTCATCGAATAATTTATAGTCAATCATAAGACAAAATGACAGAAATATTAATCCAGTGATAAACATGATCACCAAGTTCCATCCAATTCCATTGCTACCAAAGTTTATTATGTTATCTGTTGAAATAAAATTTAATTAACATAAACAAAAAAAAAATCTTTTCATCAACTAACCTTCCGCATTAAATGCATTAATAAAATATTTTTGGAAACAGTTTACTAATGAAAATGGTGGGTAGAACAATCCAATCCAAAATATAATGTTAGCTAAAATATTGACAGCTTCAATGTCGACGAGGAAATATAAAGCAGCGTAAATTGGATAAAGAATTAGAGCTAAATAAGTAAAAAAGATGGAAATTAATTTAATTGGAAGTTTTTATGATTGTCAACTTGCCTAAAAATCCAATCAGTGAAACTAAACTCTCACCAGTCGAAGATTTTTCAAACAAAAATGACATCAAATAAATCAATGGAAGAACAGAAAATCCATATAATGTGAAAATTAAGATTAAAGTTCCAACCTCTGTTCCAGTTTTGAAGTTCTCACGTTGATTTGCAAATACAATTGCAACAATTATGGCCATGATTAAAGTGAATAAAATGAAGTCAAGCAGGAATGACGTCAACCAAAATATCAACCGATTAGCACCGCCAATGAACTGGAGAAGTTTCGATTGTGAAACTCTTTCTTTGATTTTCATTCTGATGAATAATGTCGGCCAATAGCATAGAAGGAAAAAGAACATCACGAGGATAATAATAAGATTCGTTATGTTGACATCTGGCACTGGGGAATCGTTTTCAGCTTCAGAGTCGTCTTCATTAAACGACTCAATCGGCACGACCAAAAATACAAAAATAAGCCACGCACTTAGAAGTATCAACCATACAAACATAAAGAAATTTCTTTTATAGAAATAAAACTTTTTCAATATCATCGCCCAAATCTGATAAAATATCAATTTCCATCCATTCACCATTTCCATTTGATCAAAATTCACGTCAATAGTTTGATGATTTTTTCTCTTTCTTGCATCGTCTTCAGCTCCAATTTTCAAAAAAACTTCTTCTAGTGTTGTAATCGAACAACCAAAAGATGAAACTCTCAAAATATCTGCTTCATCTTCAAGTATTTTGAAAAGATGTTGAAAGTTCATCAAATCTTTTTCTGGCAAGGCAAAAATCATCTCAGTTTGAGCATCGGAGAATAATTCAGCATCAGGTAAAGATTCTTTCACAACTCTCGTCACTTCTCGAGAGTCACAACCTGTGCTTTTAACACAAGTCAATCTGTAGCCACTTCCAAACTTTTTCTTTAAAAAGTAAGGCGATCCAACTGTCTCTAAATGACCTTCGTGTAAGATCGCAACACGATCACCCAAAGTTTCAGCTTCGTCCATATGTTGTGTTGTTAACATAATTGTTCTTCCAATTTTCTCTTGAATTAAAAGATCCCACAGAGCTCTTCTCGCACCTGTGTCTACTCCAGAAGATGCTTCATCAAGAATAACAATTTTAGATCCTCCACAAAGTGCATTTATCGTGCACAGTTTTCGTTTTGTACCTCCCGAAAGCGTTTTCGAACGACAATTAAGTTTGTCTTCAAGACCCAGTAAATTGACGTATTTTGAAACTTCAGCATCAATTTCTGCTTTGTTCTTCATTCCTTTGAGTTTACTAAAGAAAATTATATGCTCCTTGAGTGTCAAATCATTGAACAAAACATTTTGTTGTGGACAAAGTCCAAGAGATCTTCTTGCTTCGTCTGTCTCCTTTCTCACATCAAATTCATTAACAAATGCAGTTCCAAGTGTTGGTGCAAGAACGCCAGTAATAATATTCATTGTTGTTGACTTTCCAGATCCATTATGACCAAGTATCACTGTGATTTGATCATCATATAAGTTAAGATTTAAACTATTAACAACATTGACACCTGAGAATGTTTTCGTTAAATTTTTAATTTTAATTCCTGTTTTCAAATTGCGTGGTTCTGGTTCGTAGTCATCGTTTGTAACTCGATTATCTTCTTGATAGGCGACAGCTTCATTTGCTTCAATATTTCTACGTCTTTTGAAGCATGCAGTAAATGGATAATGCCAAGGCTTTGCTATTCCAAAGCTTCCAGTGAAAATATTCTCAATATAAATTGTTAAAATCACAAATATAATTGTTGATACAATCATCGCCAATAAAATCTCAGCAAATGAAAATCCAACATCAGCTCGATCAAGGAAATTGGAAAACTGAAGACCATCAGCATCTCTTTCGAATCTGAACACAATTGCAACACCTTCGCCCATTGCTGTGTTGATTGGAAGACAATAAAGAAACTTCACAGCATAATGAAATGATTCAAAGTTTTGTGAAAATTGATTGTATGGAATCACCATGGCGAAGAAAATCATTGTTCCGATGTTAGCAGCTGTGCTGGGCTTCTTAAAAATTGTACTAAGTAGGAAGCACAAAGTGATTAGCGAAGTAATGTAGATAAGGAAAAATATCCAGATAAGAATGAAACTACTCTTACTGAAAAATGCTGGAACGCTGAAAACTGTCACGCAAAGGAAAATTGTGATGATTGTAAAAGTGATGAACAAAGTGGTGAAAGCTGTCGTGAACCACGACAACCAATAAATTCTGGTTGATAAGCCCATAATTTTCATCATTTCTCTTAGAAGGGCATGTCGTTCAACTGCTAAGTTCTAATTAATGGAAGAATTTTTATTAACTTAGTCAAAACTTTTAAAGAAATTTAACTCACTTTGATTATGTTGCTGACAGAATAAAAAAGTATAAAAACTATCACAAGAGGGAAGAGTTCAATAATGATCTCATAAAATATAATATTAGTTATTTCATTATCTGGCGGGAGTGATCTTCGTACAAGGGATAAAAGTAGCACTACAACGATTGGAATAAATATTTCAAACACTGTTGCTGTTGGATTTCTTTTCTGAATAATCCAATTTTTCCACATAACAATTTTAAACTTTTCGAATGACATGATGTTGAAAAGTGCAAAACACAGAACTGAATGAACATTTTTTCGAAACTTTATCGACTTTTTTACAAATAGATATTCGTGTATCTAATCTTATCATGTCGATTAATCATCAGTTAAAAACAAAAACAAAAGTTACGTCAAATTAAGTTATTGACTCAGCGTACAAAAGTATGAAGAATTAAATTTAGATCTTCATAAAATATTTTTAGTATCAGTCATGAGTGTGATAATAACTAAAAATAAAGAAGCTATCCATAAATAAAAAATTTACATTGACGATTTTAACGGTTTTTATCTTTTCAGATTGATTTGAGCTTTCGCTTGATTAAAACCTTTTCTTAGCTCAAAGCTTTGAGACTCAGACAAACTTTGTTTTTATAAGTATTGATGATTTAATCCTTCTAAAATCAAAAGGGTTGCTAGTAAATATATTCCTATTAATTGTTTCATCTTAGAACCAAAATAATTAAATTTAATTCTTTCCTTTCCTGTTACTTTCTTACTTCTCAATGCAATTAATAATGAATTGCTATGTTTAATCTTATCTCGTAAAATACAATTGAAATTGCTTTCTTATCAAGATAATCTCATTAATATATAGTGATCGCCTTTTTATTGACGAAAGTTTTAAGAAAAATATTCAAGCAATAATTATTAAACATCATGTTTAAGCTTAAACCTTAAGAAAAGTGTCAGCAATGCAAGAGTTTAATGAGATATAGAAATGGTGTGTATAAGTATGTAAAACACGAAGTAGGTACATACTGCGAATTCTGATTAATATCACTGACATTTAAAATTAAACTAGTTCCTGCACTACAAAGTTAATTAACTATCAATTTGATAAATTTCTTCCTAACTTTTCTATTAATGGAAATTTAAAAGATTTTCCATTAAAATAAATTTGATTTAATAAAATTAATGTTTGAACATAAGTTTGATGATCTTCATTTCCAACAGTCGATTAAAATGAATTTCTCAATAAAATAGCATTGCAAGGTCATTTACAGTTGAGCTTTCAATACTTATAACGTATAAATAATAAGAACAATCTTGAGTGAAGCCAACAAAAGCTCAGTTTGTTTACCTTTAATACATCTTTCAAACGTAAACAGTCACAAAGAAAGATATTTACAACTATAACGATGTATATTCCACACAGGTATTGCAGGTGAAAATAAAGTTAGTGTTGGTAGAATTATGCAGTTTCTTAGTCCGCACAACAAAAACAAAACACGCGACGCTCATTGAGGTGGTATGAGGGAATTTAATGACGTTTTCACTATTATTTTCATACGCTTGCCATGTGATTCGAACTTGTTTTTCTCGCTTAACCGTTTGTAGTTTTCTTCTCTACTTCATTCGCTTTGCTTTTGCTTTACACACGTAAAGCGACTTTTTTTCTCCCATACTTGGGTTAGTTTTGTTTCAACCGCGCCCGATGAACAACTGAAAAAAGAGTTCCGTCCGCTTTTGAATTATTTTTTGGGCAATTTTCTTATATTTTCCCTGAAATTATGTAATATTTTTTAATCAACGTGTCTATTAGTGAACGGGAAAACGAATTTTTTGTGGCGTAAGTGAAAGAATTTAAAATTAGAGTCATTAAAGTTGAAATCAAGTTTGAATCTGATGAAATGAACTTAGTTAAGCTTTTTATTAGTTGTTGCTTGGATTTTTTTCTTTCATCTTGTTTGATTCACCTTTGTTGGATGTTTCAAAAATGACTCTCAACTTTGATATTAACAAAGAAAAATCTTGAAAGAAAATTAAAATTTGAGTGAAATAGAAAATGTAAAAAATGTTAAGGTGGAAATTCAACTTCTTATCAAGTGCGATAACTTATCATGAAAAATGTAAAATTAATGCGTAAAAGTGTGTGATTAGCTTGAAGTTCCGTCCAAGTTCGGTCTAGCATAATGAAATATCGATTTTTCCTTTGTTGTGAAAAGGAAAAGAAGAAAATTGGGAAAACTAAGTAAAGTTTTTGTGTCAGTGGTTGCTAACATTTAACTGCACTTACAATGCAAGCTCGAATGTTTTTCAAGAGTATTCGAGGGCAGAAATGCAATACAAGGTTTTTTAAACAAAAATTGTAGGGAAATTAGGTTGAATGACAAAGTGTCGATTTCTCGTTCTATTTAAAAAAATAAAAATAAAATATTTACTCGGAAATGTTGTTTGAGGAAAATCGATATAAACAAGAAAAAGTGAGAAAGTTCACATCAAAAAAAAACCAAAAATTTATTTGAAAGTAAAAAAAAGTTCACTGACAGTGTTTTAACTGAAAAGACAAGAAAATACGTTAAAAGCACCCAAGCACACATCTTCAAATATTATGTTAATTATCGTTTTACACGTCTCATGTGCAGATGTTTGTGTCTGTGCGACTTGAAGACGTTTTCTTCATTCTGTTTTGTGCTTACGCTGAAAGAAACAATGATAGCTTGGAATCCAGTTTTACAAATAGCTTTGTCGAGTTCACATCGCGATTGAGACCGGAGCGAAAAAAATGTTAATTAAATCATTTATCTACTTAAGAAAAATGTAAATAGTCAAGTTTTTCGGTGTAAATTTTTGGAATGCACAATGAGTCATCTGGCGCATGTGTGAGATTTAACGACAAAATGTTAATTCACTGTCAGTGACACAAAAGATCAACAGATGAATCATTTAATTCATTAAATGATGTTGTGAAATTTAATAGCCACATCTGAGAGTAAAAAATTTATTACAAACGGAAGTCAAGTGTGAAAGAATTAATGCAAAATCAGATTGTTAAAGTTTTCTTGTGGAATTAAATGTTTCATGTTGTACATTAATCTATAACATAAATGAAAAGTTCTTTGACCTGTTCATGAAACTTTATGGTTCTTGCTTAAACAGTCACGAAGTTTAATAATTTCACGCCACGGTTAACCATTTCTATGTACATATGACTTCTTAAGCGCAACGAATTTCCATAAATAAGTCGACTCACATCCATATAACAAAGACAAAAGGTAGAGAATGAGGGAATTGAATTGAAATGGAGAAAAAAATGTTGAAGTGCATCAAGGTCGATTTACTGAATAAAATTTCATTTTCCATTCTACAAACTATCGAATGATTCATAGTTCGTCTTTCTAGGAATATTTATCAACGTCACTCCATTCATAAATTGATTTTTAATGGAAACTTAATTACCTACCATCAAATAATGCATTTCTTTAAATACTAATCGTCTTTTCACTTGAAATGTGTTCGTGAGTTGCTTTTAAATAGGAAAGGAAAAAATGTCTTTGGATCATTTGTGGTTTTATTAAATGAAAAGCTTAAGATTTGTTATAAAGAAAGATATTTGCAAGTCTTTAATAACTGCCACTTTTCGCATAAAGCTAGGAGATATTTTATCAGAAGTATTGAAGTAAGAAACTGGTTTTCAAGACAACCACAATACATCTTTAATATAAGCAAAAAAATTATCGAATACGAATAAAAAGAAGCGATGAAGTAATAAAGCAAACAAGTCTAGCTTGATGTTTGTATAAGTTTACGGTCAAACAGCTTATGATCTAATCACAACCTCAGTGATTCTCTCACAGCATCTATTGCATCAAGCTTCAAGCAACATGTTTTACTATTAATGGACAGAAGGTTGAAAACAAAAGTGTTTGGAATTTTTCTGCGCATAAATACAAACAACATAAAGTAAATTTGCCAATTCTCCATTTTAGTTAGCACAAAATGCGATATTAGGGCGCGGAAAATTGCTGTTTCAATGCAAAGAACATGTTCAGTGTTGCATTTAGAATGTCTAACGTTAAATTTGTTATATCGTCTTAAATACATGAAAACGAGAAATATTCTTAATGATAAATTTCTTTTTGTCTTATCACTTCAACTATACCATCACAACAACGTTCACTGTTATCGGTACATGATAAGAAGTTATCGCTAAAACATTGTGATAAATTTTGTACATATTACTGGGATGGGCTGAAAATTAATAAAAAAAAAAATTTCATTCGTTTGCAGGCTGTAAAGTGAGAAACTCTGACATAAATTAATGTAGTGGAAAAAATTAATAAAGAAAAATAATAAAAAAACAGAAATCAAAATGCCAAAATACAAATTCAGAAACTTTTATAAAACTTTGATACAAATTTGGCTTTTCTATTATTTCCTGAACACTGTTAAAGTGCACAAATGTCAGGAGATTGACGATGTTGAGTTCATAACCACAAAACCAGAAGAAAATGAAGTTAGTGAATATAATAAAGAAATTAGCAATGAAAGTGAATTTATATTCGAGCCCATTGAAGAACCAAAAGAGATTTTTCATAATTTCGATGAGATTGATGATAGAAAAAATGTGAATTTAAATGTGAACAATAATCTTCAGCATGAGAGTGAAGTACTGCAAAATGCAGGTGAAGTTCCAACTCATTTCACTGAAATTAATGAACAGGAAGTGACTGGTGAAAAGATTCTTCAATTGAATGAAAGTCCATTTTTATTGAGACAAGATTTGGAAATTCTTCAAAATGCAAAGCTGATTATTGAACCTGGCGTGACGGTTCATTTCGCACCTATGGTTGGAATCACAGTTCACGGGCAACTTAAAGCAATCGTAAGTTTATATTTTCTTATTAACAAAAAATGAATTAGTCATGAATCGTTTGAAGGCATGTGCCAGTTCTTTTCATATCTTATCAGTATTTCACCGATAAAGTGACTCTGTTTACATTACAACAAGTGTAACGTAACAATGATTTTTTTCCAACATAAATATTTTATTTTCACTTGTTCCTTACACAATATGATCTAAATAAATCGCTTCCATTGTTCGACCCGGCCCGATGCGCTTGAGAAAGTTCTTATCAAACCAAACAGTTATTGTGCAACCAAAGAACTTTTTTTCTATCAAACTTTCCTTCTTTTCATTCCATGTTTTAATATTAAACCGTAAATTAATTAATTTACTTCTTCACTTTAACGCAATTTTCGATTGAAATCATTAAATCATAAGATGAGAAAGAAGTAACGCAATCCATAAAATAAAATCTGACGTTTAATGATTTTGATTCACGAGTTTCTTTAACTTACTTTTATATTCATTTAAATTTCTTAATTACATTGAATTTTCTTTTACCATAAAGAAACATTAATTTAGTTTAATAATCATAACGTAATATTGAACCAGCAATTGAGATTTTATGTTGTTTATTTAGGCAAACTTTTATTACTCGTCATGAATACAAAGTAGCATAATTTTGACAACATGCCATTAAATTTTGGTATTATGTAACTCAGTTGTAATGTAATCAAAAAAATGATTCGGTGTCGAAATCAACATTCGATAAGTGAACGACGCGTCATGTCACCAAATGACGATTACTGCATACGCCGGAAATATTCGAAACCTGTTTTTGTGTTCATCAACTCAATGTTTATCGAACGCTAAAAAATGCATTCCGTGTTTACTTAGATATGCTTCATGTTAAAAACGTTCTTTTAACTTCACAGGAAGCTAATGGAAAAAAGAAATTCTTTTCAATTTATTCTCGGACAACCAGCACACTCTGAAATTTTATACCTCAAGGTTCATTAAAGAGCCAACTGAAGACACAAAAGGTCTTTTCTGCTTCACAATTGTTTCTTTCTATATTTATTACATTTTCCAGCTCTCTTTTTAGTTGGAAATTTTAATCTTACGAGAACATTGACCCTGAAATTTATACTATGAAAGTTTATTCCAAAAATAGAATGTAAACAAGAACGAAGAAACTGGTTTTATGTGAAGCAATTTAAAGCTTTCTTCCACCATTGAAAGACAAAATTGGATTCGAATAAGAAGATTTCAATGCCTGAGGTGGTTTTTTATTTTATTTACTTTGTTTGCGGCGTAAAATTTGACACATTAACATAATACTTAGTTGAATATATTATTCTGACCTTCGATAATTGAATCTAAAATCTCCACATTTTCGTTGTTTTTTGTTTCGTTTAAAGATTTAGATATCTAAATAAGCGAGCACACCCAAAAGTTTTGAGAATTGAGGTCGATAAAAAATAGAAGAAACATTCTGTGTCTCAATTCTTAATCTCTTCCGACATTTTTGACCTTTTTGCAAGCATCGAGCTAACGAAACCAATTAATTGAGTTTAATTTTTCGTTTCACTTTCAATTTATTCGTTGGCCATTTCCGCTGAAACTCGCATGTTCATGTTATGAATAATGATTTATGACAGTGAAATGAATCCCAATTTCATATTTTTTTTGTTGTAGGGAGACGCTTAAGAATTCACATCGCAGAGAATAAAAAAAAGTTGACTCAAAACTTACATAAAACCTAAGCATGAAATTCCCATAATTTACCGCAAAAATATTTGTCTTACTTAGTAATCAGTGATTGTAGTTTTGAATTATAAAACTCTTTAGTTGTCTTTTACCAAAAAACAAAAAATCAACAATGACATGAAATTATTTTCAAGCGGATTAAAACTGTTTCGGTCAGAGGTTTTTTAAGGTATTAATCTACTCGGAGTAGCTTGAATCTAGAGAAGAGTTTATTCGATTAAAAAACAGTTAAGAAAGCCTGATTTGTGAGCAAGTTTAAATAAGTGATGTCCATCATTATAAAGAATAAAAAATGATAATCTTCATTTCCCTAAATCTTAGATGAAAACTAAATGTAGGCGAAAGCAATTCAATGGGAAAGTCGTGATTCAAATCATGCTCAAAACAAAATAAATCTTTAAGATTCTTCACTTTATCATTTCCGAAACAAATTTTTAACTCTGATTCGAAATAAAAAGCAATTCAAGATTTCGATTTGAAATCGTGAAACGAGAAGGCATGAAAAATGATTCCCCGCTCTTCAAGCACAAGAGTTTAATTGAATTAAATTTATCATTAAACTTCGCCACTTTGACCCAACATATACAACTCGAACACATTGTATTTCGTAAAAACACTTCTCATAACTTAGCGTGTCTTTTTATTCATTTAGCAATTCATTTTGATAAGACAAGAAGACGACAAAAACTCTTTAATTGATTCATTCAATAGCAAGAAGTGCAGAAGAAAGTTTTTTAATTCACCATTGACGAAATTAGTGACGCTTTTCACTTCGTTGATGTTTTTCTTTAGATTCAAAGTCAATTGAGAAAAAGGTAATTCAACTCGTCACAATTAAATCAGTAATTCCGCATTTGTGTGTTCTCTAATCGTTAATTTTCAACGGATATTTGCGGTGAAATTTTTAGAGTAGAACTGAAGAAGAAAAGAAGTTTTGCTTCAAGACAATCGAACGATTGATTTCGTTTTGCTTCCAAGCGGATGGTTGTATGACGAATCATTTTCTTCGTTTATTTGGGATCAGCTGATGTTGTTGATTCTTCTTACACTTGCTGAGTCAAATCATAAAAAAAAACTTAATGACTGTTTTGAAATATACACAAACAACCAATTACAGACATTCAGCACAATTTTAACGGTTAAGAAGGTTCAGAACATGCAAAAAAAGCGGCTCGCTCGTTCAGGTTGCGCGACGCGATATTATTGTGTGTGAATGATTCGTAACGCAGGGTAATTTTCATTTAATGTGGTAGAAATTAATCGCGTGAAGTTTCCCCGGTTCATAGACGGAGACATTATGATATTCTTTCTAAAGTTCATTGAACTTTTTATTGATTTTTCTATTAATTATTAAACAAATATTAAATTTAAATTATACACTCGTACAATACTCGCGTTGCACTGCCAATCTGACCTTCGATCTTCTTTATCAATGCATCGATTTGTTGATTATTCATGTTCTTTGTTGCTGCTAATACGACAAAAAAGAAAATTTTCTCAAACATTCTCTTCTTCATTGCTTTCTCTCCTGAACATTTGAGGTCAACTAGTTTGTCATTTGGCTTCGCGAACACGCGTTTCAGTTCAGTTTCCCTTTGACTATAGAATTCATCTTTAATTTTATTGATGATTTTTGAGCATTCATCACTGAGAGGTTTGTTCTTATTCATTATGTACGTTTGAAGACATTCAATCTCTTTAGTTTTATCGTCCTTCTGTCGTCTTCCTCTCCTCATTATTTGATAAAGATCAGGTTGAAAAACATCCTTATTTTGGCAAATAAGTTTCGTTATGTTCACTGCTTTTCTTTGAAAGATTTTAAATCTGTCATCAAACTTCACCATTTGACTTGATTGATTAAATTGTGGTTTCAAATATTCTTTGATTAACGTTTCACTGACATATTTCTTTTTAAGAAACTCCGAAACGCACGAATCATTTGATGCTGATCTTAATTTATTTACTGTTGAATTCACATGTGCTTCACATTTTTGATCAACTGTTCCACCTTTACTGTAAGCTTGATATGATCGTTCGAGTAGTTCATGTTTTATCATATAATTGATGAAGCATGACTTGTTGTAGATCTGACATGAAACTTTTGTTACTCCAAGAAGAAAACTAAACGTTAAGAACTTTAGAACTCTCATTCTATCTGATCACTGAAGGCCGCATTAGAACGCACAAACATTTATACTGATCAAAATTGTGACTTTTAATCAGAACGTGATAAGATCAAAACTTGATTAAAAGATTGCGCAATAAGTTTCAGTTATAAAGTAAAGCATGCTATGTAAATATCACGTGCGAAGGAACACATTTTATGATTGTTTTCAAACATTTTCTCAAACAAATTTAACACCACATCAGGTCGGAAACTTCCAAAGAATAAGAAATAGAAGAAAAACTGCTGAGTTAAAATATCTAATTAAATTTCAACGCTCCACTTTTGATGTGTAAAAAGAATTTCAATTCTTACAACCAGCGTGACATTTCGTGTCATTTGTAATTAATTGGAATTTTTATTCACAACTTTTTTCTTCTTACTTCCTACATGTAAGTCAAATTACAAGCAAAAAGCTTGTCGTAAACACTCTCGAGTTTAATTATAATCTTCTTGTTAATTACTCAATCATTTTAATGCTTAATTTAGAAACCTTATTTAATTGAGAACATTAAAGTTTCGAAATCAAAAAATAATGATGAAATATTTAAAACTTTTCAGGGTGAACCAACTCATCCCATCACTCTCACTTCTCAACCAAATTCCGGATACACTGAGAGTCCACCAAAAACACCTGACGAAATGGGAGCAAGACTGGTCGATGGCCCATCGCCTCTTGAAGGGAGACTTCAGTTGATGGTGAATGGCAAATGGCGATCGGTTTGCAGTAATTCTAGGAAGTAAGTTGATAAAATTCATTCATATTTGCAAACATAAATTAATCAAGTTAATTTTAGTTGGACAATTCCTGATTACGAGACTGTCTGTCGTCAGATGGGCTTTCAAGGAGGCCGCTTTTGGAACTGGATGGAAAAACTTCAAAACTTTGATCCGCGACTTCTTTATGAAGAGCCGGAATGTCGTGGCACTGAATATTCTGTATTCGAATGTCAATGGCGAAATCATCAACTTGGTTCTGGCGTGTGTGATTATCACAACGATCTTGGTGTCCAATGTCTTCCACTTTTGGAATCAGCTTCATCAAACTGGCGTGGCTTACGATTCTTAAATGCTGAGTCAACAAGACTACTTTCGAATGAAAACACAATCTACGATCATGTTTCTTATTCAACACTCAAACACGTGAACATTATTCGTGCTGGTGCTGGTCGCAATCGAATGGTCCCTGCTGCAATTGAATCGTTTGGTGTTCCCCCGACACTGAGTCATGTGACAATCGATTATTCAGCTTTCACTGGCATCAACGTGACCAGATCTCAATCATCATTCAACTTCCATGAAGTCACAGTTCGACGAAGTCGAGGCTTTGGAATTTTTGTCAACTCAAGTTACGGTGCTGCAATGATGGATCATTGTACAGTAAATGAAAACGGCGCTGACGGCATTCGTTATGTTGGACACGATCTTAGATTTGATGAGCGCAATGATCGAAGTGATTTACGTGAATTCTGTACACTTGCAATAACTGCTGGCCAAACATATCCAATTGAACTTCAAGTCGAACAAACTGCGTATTCAGCGTCAACAAAAGTATGCGAACAAAGATTTACTACAAAACCTGGATATGTGCTTACCGTTCATTTTGTGAATTTCGTTGTGACAAAGAACGACACTGCTGAGATTTTGGTCACTGATGGATCGTCGGAACATGACCGGCCACTTATAGAATGGTCAGTAAGGAACTACACGAGAGTGCAGAGTGTTGTAAGCACGAGAGAATATGTTTTCATAAAGTTCAAAGCACAGCCGAGAAGTCCAGTTCTTGCTTACTTCCGTGTCACCACGGGACTTACAAAAGCTTTTGACTTGAATGTAACAAACAGTGATGTGAGTGATAATGGTGGACGTGGAGTTGTACTCGATAATCTCCGATCACTTGTACATATCCATAAAAGTTCCATCAGTAATAACAATCATGTTGCTGGTTTTCATGTGACAAGTGGAGCTGGAGATGTGAATGTGACTGACAGTAAAATCAGCTTCAATCATGGCGATGGTGTCAACATAACTTACTACGGTGGCAATCGAAATATCTCACGAAGTTCACTGAGTGCAAATAAAGGTTTTGGTTTCGCAGTTTGGCTGAATCAAACGACTAAAGATCGTGCTGAATATCTTCCTTTTAATCAAACAACTGTCATTGAATATTCAAGAATCATCAGAAATCTTGAAGTCGGAATTTTGCATGGAAATTATTGTGGCGACTTTTGGGTGAATATAACAGGAAATCTTTTCAACGAAAGCTTTTCAAATGGCATTGACATTCAAACATGTTGGTTTGATAAACAAGAAGGAAGAAAACTTCGACTTCAAATAGGCCACAATCATTTTGCAAGAACTGAGAAGATTGGAGTCATTATAAGCCCAGCATTGAATATTGACGGTGTAATTGAACACAATCACTTTTATTTCGGACGTTATGGTGGAATTTTAATTCGAAACGATCAATTTGTTGAATTTTATGATTTGTTTCGAACACTGCCGGCAAAGTTTACAGTTCAACATAATTATTTCATGCGTAACAAAGGCATGTTTATCGCATCGTTAGGTTTGAACTCTTACACAGATCGTGAGATTCATTCGATTCTTTTCACAAAGAATTTCGTACAGAACAATAAAATTCAAGAGCCATTTGGTCAACATGATGGTGAAGATCAACCAACAGGTGGTGAAGGAATGAATGGAGAAGGAAGATTGAATCCGAGATCACGAGTTGCAGCGCCGATTGTTATCTCATCAAGTAATGTTGATGTCTATCGTAACATTATCTACAATCGTGACTCGAAATACGAAATTGGATCACAAGTTTCAGATCAAAGTCAAATATTGAATTGCACGTATAATTGGCTTGGCTCGAAAGATGAAGAAAAAGTTTTTGATCGACTTTTCCACAGAAAAGATCGCTTTGACTTGGCAAAGATTGAATATTTGCCTTACTTGTTGCATTATTCAAATCCAGGCACAACATTAATCAATCAATTTCCAACATACATTCCAAGATTTCATGTCGAAGGATCAGACAAAGTCGGTGGCGAAGTTGATGGACAAGAAATTCTCCCTCCAGGAACTTATGAAGTTGAACGTGACATTAACATTCGTCCAGGTGGTAAATTGATACTCCAATCTGGTGTCACATTAAATTTCGCTCCAAGTGTTGGCATGATGGTTGCTGGAAAGTTGGAAGCTCGTGGAACTGCACCTGACGATATTTTATTCACTTTAAAACGAGAACCTGTGATGGTCAACGAAACAGAAAGCATTGACGGAGATATCGATGTGAATACTGAACCAGTCGTGCCGAAGAATCTTCCACCACCGATTCCACTTCGACTTCTTGGTGGAAAGACAGAACATGAAGGAAGACTTCAAGTGATGATTGACGGTCAATGGGGAACGGTTTGTGATTATGGTTGGACTTTGATTAATGCTGCACTTGTTTGTCACCAACTTGGCTTAGCATTAAATCCAATTGATTGGCGATTGGAAAGATCAGAAATTCCTGGTGCTGGTACCCAAGAAAACATTCTTCTGTCTAATGTTCGATGTACTGAACACGACACTGACATCACAAAATGTCGATCAGAAAGAATTAAAGAATTTGAGAATTCTTGTACACATGAAATGGATGTTGGCGTGAGATGTTATGAAGGTGCATGGGCTGGTGTTCGATTTGGTGTTCTTGCAGATCGTGCTGACATTCAATATGTAACAGTGAAGAAAGCTGGATTATTTGATTACACAACCAACGTCTTTAAGCCAGCAATTCAAATGGATTTTGCGCGACATAATTTCGATCATGTTCGAGTTGTTGAGAATCTTCACGATGGCCTTGGGGTTGTTTATTCAGACATCTTTGGTGGTGGAACAGTCAACAATATACGAAACAGTGAATTCTCAAATAATCTCGGTAATGGCATCAGCTTGAAACAACTTGGGTTACAAGTTCAAGGAAGCATTATAAAAAATAATTTAGGCAGCGGCGTGAGTCACGATCCCGTAATTGGTGCTTATGAACAACGAGAACTTGCTGGATGGTTCAAACTTGCACCTGACTTCATTGCAACAGATTTTATTTATCCATTGACTGAAGTTCCAAGCGACACACAATTCATTGATGTTGATCAATTTCAAATGAAATATTTACTTACAAACAAAGCAATTGGAGAAGAAATTACTCAAAGAATCAAAGTTCGTTGTCAACCTGGATACGTTATTGGCATACAATTATTAAATCCAATTGAAAATAGATCGTCAGAAGAGATTTATATTTACGATTCACAGACTGGTAACTTGAAGAGTGACATTTTCCAAGTGAAACGTGATTTGTCAGTGTTTCCTTTAACAACAACAAGCTATGCGATCATTCTTGAATACAAAAGTGGACTCAATGCACTTGGTGGTGCTGTCATGACATTAAGTTCAATTCCAGCACCAGCACAAACGATTTACAACAGAATTATTAAAGGACCAGTGCCGACACTTTTAATGACATCAACAAAAATTCAAAACAACTTGCGAGGCTTAACAGCGACTTACTACAATCGATATTTAGGAGAGAAAGGCGAACATTTCTTACGAAAAGCAAACGAGTCAATGTTGATAAGAAATTGTGAAATAAATTATAACAAAGAAGAAGCTGTGTTCATTCTTGCGCCGTTTTGGGATGTTCATATTAGTAACATTTCTGAAGTTACACTTCATATCAATAAGTCATCAGTTGCTGACAATGGACGTGGGTTAAGACAGTTTTCAAAAGATCTTCGTTCATCTAATAATCTTTTCCATTACGTGCTACAAGATACATCGATGGAGAGAAATGCAGCTGGTGGAATGGAGATCAATTTGCCTTACGTTTGGCAGTATAATGAAAACTTTACTCATTCAGTTTTTCTCGGCAACAACACTTGGAGTAAGAACGAGAAATTTGGCATCGTTATTGACGGCCATTATGCTGAGATTAACGTCACGGGCAACAAGTTTATAGACAACAATTGCCAGAATGGTTTAATGGCTTTTCGTGGCATGGAGAAAAAGCTTAAAATAGAAGAAAATCAGATTACGTCAAATATTGGACGGTTCATGGTTGAATTCAATTCAGATTCACAAAGTGAGATTCTTGGTGAAGTCTTTGCTGTTTTCAGATACAATGAACTTAGAAACAATCGAATAGAAAGTAAAAGAATTCTACCAGGTGGCAGATCATTCTTTCGTGGAACGAGAAACAATCCAATTGATCCAACTTGTGTCATTGGCTTTGGTGGTGTTCAAAGAGTTCAAGTTTTCAGAAATCTTGTTTCTGATAATTTGCAAGATTATGATTTAGTTGCTGGTGTCAAGTCAGCACGATTGGGAAATTTCCTAGACGCACAAGAAAACTGGTGGGGTTCGAGAGATCCGCAATACATTGAACAACGAATTTTTGATTTTGATGATTGGAATAATCATGCTGAAGCAAGATGGCGGCCTTATTTAATTGAAGATCATATTTATGGCTCAGTTTCAGTGTCATTCGCTGAGAACACGACAGTTGATTTGGATAATCTTGGCGGAAGAATTTTTGAAGATTTAACGTTACGTCAACGTATGACGCCTTACGTTATAAAACGTGACATCACCGTAATGCCAGACGCGACATTGAAAATTGGGGGTGGAGTTGAAATGGAATTTGCACCAAATGTTGGAATTTTAGTTCTTGGTACGCTCGATGCTCGTGGTGGTCGTGAATCTATGATCCAAATGCGACCAATTCAAAAGCAAGCAGAAGAATTGAATCGAATTGAACGTTCAGTTGAGAATATGGTGAATCAAGATTCAATTCGTTTGTGTACGAATAGAAATTGTACAACTGAAGGACCTGAAAATCAAGAAATTCGCGAAGGTTTTCTTGAGTATTTCAATCACACGACACTCCAATGGATTCCAATATGTGATCGTCGTTTTACTGAAAGGAATGCGGTGAGTTTAATTACAAATTAAATTTATTTTTCAAATTTCATTCTTTGAATTCCATTTCAGCAAGTTGTTTGTCGTGAACTTGGATTCGATCCTTTAAATATTTATTTCGGGCATGACAGAAGAATCGAATATCACACAAATTCTCTTACACGTATTTGGACGTGGGTGGAACCATTTGAATGTCATGGAGATGAATCAAGGATGGAAGAATGTCCCGAACGTCTTAATGGTCAACTTTATGGTCGACGACATGATTGTAAATGGGACGATGAATTTGTGTTTGTAGCTTGTAATGGTGACATCGACTCAACGCCATATTGGGGTGGAATTAGATTTGCTAATCCCGATTTTGAAGATCGTTCGTATGAAGATCGCTTCCATGACCGTCGATCACATGAGACGAGAATGAAGAAAGGAAGTCACATTGAATACATTAATATTGAACGTGCTGGACTATTGCATGGTGAGAAATCGCCAGCAATTCAATCAATTTCAAAAACACCCGTCATAAGATCGATTACAATAAAAGATGCAGCTTATCATGGTGTCAACTTAGTGTCACCTCGAGATGCAATTCATTTAAATCTCATTAATATTGAGAAGACTTTGGGACAAGGAATCAACGCAATTTCATTGACAGGAGAGGGACGTGAAGCTGACGATTCAAGTTTCACACCTTTACGTGACTTGGATTTGCCATACAACATTTTTTCAATGATTGACATTTGCGATGTCTCAAAAGTTATCACAATCGAAGAGAGAGTTTTAATCTACTACAAATACGACAATAATCCCGTGAATTGTGTAAAGATTTTCAAAAGTGCTTTCTCTGTTAAACCACTCGGCTTTCGTCTGCTTCAATCGAATCTCTTTAATCATTCCAAAGAATATGGACGACCAGATTCAATTCATCTCTTTGATGGCGACATTTACAACTATACAGCTAAACATATCGGATCGATTTTAGCAAACTCTGATAAAGAAAGAAGTTTGTTTAAGACTTTTGAACCGATTTTGAGTGTTCGATTGATCGCGAGTGGTGCACCAGCTCGTCATGGATTTATAGCTGAGATTGTTACATTACCAACATCAGCAATTGGATTCAGTGAGTTTTTTTACTTTGAAGTGATTTGAAATTTATTTAATAAACTTTTAATCAATTTCAGATCGCGATGCACAACACAACATTTCAAATTGTGAGATTTCTTACACGACCGGCTCTCCAATCTCATATCATTCTGTCGGCGAAGTTTCACCAATTTTAACTCTTGAAAGAAATCGAATTATGAATAATTGTCTTCAACTTTACGGAAATTTCTCGACATGCGAAGCTGCAGTTGATATCAATGTTCAGAACATGCACTCGTTGTTCTTCAGAAATAATTTACTTCAAGACAATCAAGGCGGACTTTTATTAAGATCAGATTCACGTGGGGCTGCAACCTCACTGAGAGCTTACATTAATAACAATTTATTTGTGAGGAATAAAAATCGACCGTCGCTTTATTGTGAAGGCAAAATTGGTTCACCTTATCAAGATGTGAATATTTACAAGAATTATTTCACACAAAACATGGCTGGGGGAGTTGTCAAATGAGATTATTTGTCATCAATAAAAGAATTTTTCATTTCAGTTATGAAGATGTGATTGTGTTGCGACAAGTCGTCTCGAATTTCAGCTTTAATTACGTGCACAGCAACATGGGTGGACGAATCATTGAAATTTCCGGATTTGACAAAGTCAGACTTCCAATTTATCAAACGACAGCTCACAATGGTTTTTACAGCAATGTTGCTACAGATTGGCGTGGTCGAACGACAATTGTTGCTGGAACTGCTGGTCAAAGTTATGTCGACAATATTTTCTTCAATCCTGACAACGATTATGAGATGCTCACAGTTAATCGTTCATTGTAGGCTCAAATAAAATAAAGTTAATCAAATTTTTAATTAATTTCTTTTCCTTTAGATTCGATATAAGATTTTGGAACAGCACACGTGACATTTACAAAACGAAGATTGATGCATCTCACAATTTCTGGAATTGGAATGAAACGTTAGCAGTGAGTTCACGAATTCGTGATCGAGCTGATGATCCAACACTCCTTGAAGTTCAATATCTTCCACTTCATATGAATAATCGATCGATTCTTGATGGTGGAAAATGTCCGCCTGGTTGGAATTTAGTTTTTGACACATGTTACATGTACGTTGGAGCTCCGATGACCTTCCATGAAGCTCGTGACTTTTGTCGATCTGACAATGCTTCTTTACCGTTTATCCGTGATGACACTTCACAACTTTGGCTTTATCTTCAACAACAAATGCAGCATTTAAGGTAAAATTTCATTAAATTGAAATTATTTCTCGAAATTAATTTTCATGTTCATATTTAGATTCGCTGAACATGTTTGGGTGCAAGATTACGATTACCTTGAACGTTGTACTGCTTTCGTTTATCGAACGGTTGAATTTGACGATTGCAACATGAGAAATTCATTTATATGCGAGATTGATCCGAAGATTATCATCAATCCACTTTCATGGCAAGCTGATATTGTCGCGATAAGCGTCATGAGTTTGTTCATTGTCGGCGGCATTTTATTGTGTTGTCTTGGTTATCTTTGGTGGGCAAAATCAAAGACACGTCAAGAACAAAGACTTCAAAGAAGAAACAGCATTCGTCAAAGTCTCCGCAGTTTAAATATGATTGATCCACAAGGTGGATCCATGCGACGACGTTACATGAATGGCAGATCAACTGAAAGTCTTTCAAAGTCAACTGCTACTGATTATAAGAAAATGTTGTCAAATGGTTCGATTGAGTCAATGGATAAAAGTGTTTTAAGCTCCGTCGACACAAGTTTCGCTGATTATGACATAAATCCGAATCCAAAGCCTCGTTTCAATGAATATTCTGTTCAACCTGCTAAACGTTACTCACCGCCTGATACTCCACAGAAGACAAAAGTTTATGGTGTGCCAACAACACCGACTGTGCCAATGGATTCATTCGAACTTTCCTTCCGAAACGATGGTTTCCGTGACAACTCAACAATTTACACAAACACAACGAGAAATAACTCATTAAGCACTGCCATCAATGAAGATACGCCGATCATCCATCAAGTTGATAACGATGAATATGGATCGGATTATTATGGCAATGCAAGCACATTGCCGATGAGAGTGAAGGGCGACAATTTATCATTCCTTAATGAACTGAAGAATCGACTGCCAGAGTATGAAGAGCCGAGAAATAGTTCAGGTCACAGCAGCTTTTTGCCATCGAATAATGAACCATCGTCGAGTAATGAAGAAGTCGTGGAAACGACTCAAACAAGACGACCAAATGCGTTCATCGCGCCTCCTCCAGAACATGTACGAAGACCAGATTCGTACATGAAGGCTGTTAAGAAAACTCCAAGAGATTCAATCATTCCAAAGAGTGAGTATGGCAGACCAAGGACGGTTTATGAGTCATCTCAAGAGCCTCAACGTCCTTCTGTTCCACCTCCACCACAACCATATACAAGATCGAAGTCGGAAGCTCTTCTCGAAACGAACTTCGACAACGATCCAGTGCCACCAATCATTCCATTATCATCAGACAGTCGAAGTCATAGTCAACCTTTAGAAACTGAATTTTAATCAAAGCAATAAGTTTAATTTCATTTGTGTTCATGACTTCATTAAGACACGGAATGCCTTTCAATTGTGCTTTAAATATTGACAGCAGCCTTAGGCATCAAACATTCTTTAAGATTTTTCTAAGACAATGAAAGAAAGAAAAACCCCCCAATGTGATATAAAATTAAATTTTTATATTGTTACATATGTGTAAAGCAGTAGCTCACATTTGAGCGTCTATCGTCTATTAAATTAAATAAACATTTACGTCCTTAACTAAGCACAACTTTCCATTCCATTAATTAATTATTTAGATAAATGTGCAAGTGAAATTAGTGCATTATAAATGTCGTAATGTTAAGTGTTAATTTTAAGTAGATAGGATTGAAATTAATTTTCTCTTTTTATGTCGTTTATAAAATTATCTTACTTAAGATTTTTATTTTTAAATCGTACGAAGAACTAAATAAATTTACGATGAGATTAAATTTTGTTTGTCTCACGATTTTGATATAACAAATATTGAAATTTCCAACTTCACTTCATCACAATTTTTGTAGACTTTGAAATATTTATTTCAGATTGAAAAAGCTTTCATGTTTAGAAACTGAAATTTTAATTACTTCGTTTAAAATCATTTATTTTAAATAAAATAATTACTGCGAAAAACATTTATCGCGAGTTGAAATCAATCAGCAAACCGGAAAAACAAAAAAAACTAAATTCTTGAATGTCATGACCAAAAAAGCTTCAATATTCAAATAAATCAGCAGCAGAAAAGCAAATAGAAGAATATTCATGAACTTTATGTTAAATTCTTTAATTATTTTAATTCTTCTTCTCCACTATTGTAATGCTGATGATGTTGTAAGTTTAATCGAATTTTGTAAGACAACAATTAATGAAAATTTATTCAAGGAATCTTTGATTGAGACAGCTGGTTACAAGAGTGAAACTCACAAAGTTGTAACTGAAGATGGATACAAGCTCAAAGTTCACAGAATCAAAGCTAAAGTTCCAGGAAATATGTTGGGACCAGTTTTCTTCATGCATGGAATGCTCGCTTCTGCTTCAGATTATCTTGTGTTAGGAGGGAAAAAAGCTTTTCGTAAGAACATTTAATGAGTATTAAGTTAATTTTTTTTAATCAATCTTAAAGCTTTCCTATTGTCTGATTCGGGATTTGATATTTGGTTTGGAAATTCGAGAGGAAACGACAACAGTCTGAAACATCAAACTTTGAAAACTGATACAAACGAATATTGGGACTTTAGTTGGCATGAAATTGGATACTACGATCTTCCTGCTATGATTGATTACATGTTGAATGAAACAAAATCTCTCAAGACATATTATGTTGGTCATTCACAAGGTTGCACTTCGTTAGCGGTTTTGTTGTCAACACGACCTGAATACAATGCGAAAATTATTCAAGCCCATTTAATGGCTCCAGCAGTATTCATGGCCAATTTTCCGCATGCTATTTTAAGATCGTTCCTGGATATCGTCGGGGTGAGTGTTTCTCTTTCAAATGTAATTAAAAATACCTAATTGAAAATATTTTTTTAGAAATTAGCTGATGATGGCAATTTCAACATAGTTTCAAATTCTCGCATCCTGAACTATTTAAATTCAATAAGCAGAGTTTTATGTGCTGATAAAACTCTTTCGTCAGGAGTGTGTGCTGCAAGTGTGTCGTTTATCTGTGGAGAGAATAAAGGGCCAACTGAAATAGATCCGGACATACTTCCAGATCTTCTTACACATCTCTCCCACGCAATAAGCTTGAAACAAATGAGTCATTATTTGCAAATTTACAAAAGTGGAAGATTTCAAAAATATGACTTTAAAAAAAGGAATAAAGCTGTTTACAATGCTTCGTTACCACCGGCTTATGATCTTAAACAAATGGTAGCACCAACATACATTTATAGTGGCGCATGTGACAGTCTCGTTTCCATTCATGATATTGAACATTTAAGAAATGTCCTACCAAATGTTAGAGAGTATCGAAGGTTTGAAAATTATAATCATTGCGATTTTAATTACGGAAGAAATTCAAGATCAATTTTATATAAAGATATTCTTAAGTCGATGTTGTCTGAAAGGGAACATCAATGAGCGATGAAATGGAAAATAAATGAAAGAGAAATCACAAGCACGTGCTCTTCTCGTTCTTCTTCTTTTTATCAGCATTTAAACTTGCTTTTTTTTTCAGAGAGAAGAGAAAATGTGAATAAATTATTCACTTTCGGTCTCGTCGAAAATAACGCTCAGTTGTATTGTGTGAGTTTGAACATGATGACTAAAAATGTTTTGCTTTCATTTAAATTATTTCAAAGGAGATTTTCATCTCATCAAACATTTCATTGTGTAGCTGATAAACTATCACAGATCATTAACAACTCAGGATATTGTGGAGAATGTTACAAAGTCAAAACAAATGATGGATACATTCTAAAAGTGCATCGAGTAAAAGCACAAAACAATTTAACAGATAAAGGAACAGTTTTCTTAATGCATGGTTTGTTCAGAGATTCTTCAGACTATCTCGCAGCTGGTCCAAAGGTTTCGCTTCCTTATTATTTAGCCGATCATGGTTGTAAGTTTTTAAAACAAATTTCATTATTAAATCACCTTCATTTCATTCCAATCAATTGAATGTTAGATGATGTGTGGTTAGGAAATGCAAGAGGGACAAAACACTCAAATGAACATGAAAAATATTTATTTAATTGCAAGGAGTTTTGGAAATTCAGTTTTCATGAAATTGGACTTTTCGACTTACCAGCGATGCTCAACTTTGTCTTCGATTACACTAAGGATTCTAAAACGTTTTACGTTGGTCACTCTCAAGGCGGCAGTTCGTTGTTAGCTCTTCTATCTTCACTGCCTAAATATAATGAAAAGATAATTCAAGCACATTTGTTAACACCAGCAGCGTTCATGAAAAATTCAACAAGTCCGATTTTAACATTACCAGCAAAACAATCAGAAGTCTTTGTGGCAAGTTATTTAAATGATTTCTTAAGAAATTCATCAACATTTTAAGTGGTTCTTCAGAAAATTTCAGATAAAATTGGAAAAGTCAATATCTCACCAATTTTAAAACTATCAAAACAAATTTGCTATTTGAACGGTTACAATCACGAAACTGCTATGAAAATATACAAAAATGTGACTTGCTCAATAGTTGGGAAGAATAAACATGAGACTCAAGTGTCTGAGGTAATCTAGAAATATTTTAAAAGTTTTTTTTTACCAATTTTCATTATATTCCAAATCATCTTCATCAAGGAAGCACTAAAAATATTCCAAGACAACATGTCACCAACCGTCAGTGCAATGCAGCTAATGCATTTCCTTCAACTGCATATAAGTGGGAAATTTCAGCAATATGACTATGGAGAAAGAAATTGGGACTTTTATAAATCACAAAAACCACCTGAATATCAACTGTCCAAAGTCACAACACCGGTTTATCTCTACAGTGCGTCAGAGGATGCACTGATTGTACCTTCTGATGTCGAACATCTCAAAACGATTCTTCCAAATGTTAAAAACCACGAAGTGATTAATGATTGGAATCACTTGGATGTTGTGTTAGGAAAAAATTCACGGAAATCGCTTTATAAAAATATTCTTAGATCAATGACGATGAATTAAACAAAAATTTCTATCGAAAAGTGAATTTAAAAAAATTAAACAAGAAGTAGATAAGATTAGATTATCTAAGTTTAAATAAAATCTAAAATTCTTATCAAAGCCTTCTAGCTTATTCGAGTACCTAATATTGAATTTTTGATTTATGTAATTAAAAAATGAATAAACATTAAATAAATTTTTAACGGTTCAATTTTTAAACGTTACAAGACTGTTTCGAATATCCGAACTTTTCTTTATCCGAATGAGATCTTAAGAAATTCGGTTAAAAGAAGAAAAAGAATTCAAAAATTGAGAAGCTACAACGCAAAGTTTTCAAAAAAAGTTTAATTAAACTGGAAAAACAAAATTCACAAATATGTCTTCTGCACAATCTCAAATCTACTACAGTGACAAATATAACGATGATGAGTTTGAGTACCGGTAAGTTTAATTTGAGTCAATAATTACATTTCCAAATATTTTTCGGCGGTTATTTAGTAAATTTTGTTGTTGTTTTCTTCTATTTTTACAAGTATTTTTATTATTTCTAACGACATTATTTTATTTTTTTAGTCATGTCATGTTGCCAAAAGAATTAGCTCGACTTGTTCCTAAAAATCATCTTATGACGGAAAGTGAGTGGCGAGGAATTGGAGTTCAACAAAGTCGTGGCTGGGTAAGAGTCATTTCAGCTGCAGATCATTCTGGATCTTAAAAGTGAAGCTTCTTAAGTTTTGTCTGTTGTTTATGATTAGTGGCCTGATAAAGAATTAAAATGTGAAAGTGATGACTAACAGTTAAAATACTCTTTTAAGTGACAAGAGACAAATCTTAATTTAATGCTCATTTATCTGGATGTTTTCAATCTGCTCATCATGATTTCTATTTGTTACAGGTACATTACATGATTCACCAACCAGAACCTCATGTACTGCTCTTCCGACGGTAAGCCAGCAATTCGTTTATAATTTAACAATTTATTAATTTTATTTTCAATTTTCTCTTTTCAGTCGTCTCGAGAAGTCCCAAAAAGCTTAAGTTGTTAATAAACTCCCTCAGATGTCCCTTGAGGAAACTCTTCTCATGATAAATATAAGAAAATAATTCCACATTTCCGTCGATTTACCTTTACAAATGGATATGATCAGCAAAACTAAGATTTCGTAATTGAGGCCAAATTTTATTGAAATTCAAAGTCGACATAATCAAATTTCTTTAATTCAGCCTCTGAATTCACTCCTAATTTTCTTTTAATTAATCAATGTATTTAAAATGCCTTCTTCTTATGCCTTGTGTATTCATATCCTTCGAGCATTTGCTAAATCTTGATCAAATGTAATAAGAAACTTAATATTAATATTGATCTGGTTAATTAATTAAACTTGTTTTGTGAAAGGTAGTTAATAAAGTTTTTTATATTTAAGATGAACTTTGATTTATTACATGTTTTAAGTTTTACACTTCACACCCATCACACCTCATTGTCAATCAAAATTACAATCGACGATCTCTCAATCCCAATCGAAAAAGAAAAAAATGTTGAAAGCGTTCAATGTATCAAAGAAAACTTTTAAAATTTTGTTCAATTGAATTGTTCACGTCGTTGGTCAACATGAGATTTTTCTTTCATCACTACATTAACAATTGTTATGAGTAGCAACAACTTAAACTTCACTTCATTGAAGATTCGTTAATGAATCGTCTATCAATGTCACATTGGAATTAAATGATATTAACTGTTCGACTAAATTATTATTCAGAGAAGACTGTAACGGTAGCATCATCAATTTTGTATAATTTGATAAATAATCTGTCATTTAAACAAGTTCTTCTCGCATTTTTAATCATTTCTTTCTCACATATCGTTTGATATTTCCACTAAGTATAACAAACAATGTTGCACTGAAGCAGATTTTTCATATGCCGGGGCTTATTTGTTTGACTATGTAAATTTGAACAACTGATTGACCATGTGTTCCATCACGTCTTGTGTCTCTTGTGGTGGTTATGCAAAAACCTTCGTGGAATTATGATGAGAGGAATGAGAGTTTCTTGAGTTAGATTATCATTTAGTTTTGCCGTGGCTTTCGCAGTGAACATTACTGTTGTAAAATGAAAGCGACATTTTCATTAATTGTCGCGATTTTTAATTTTACATCTTGTAATTCGAAATTATTACAAAGAAATGATTCTGTAATTGAACTAATTAACAATGCTGGTTACATTGGTGAAGCACATCAAATTGAAAGTGAAGATGGATATTTGTTGAAACTTCATCGTCTTCTGCCTATGAATAATGATTTAAATCAAGAAAAGAAACCTGTTCTACTGGTGCATGGAATAATCGCAACGTCGGCAGACTTCTTGGTCACTGGACCTGATGTCGCTTTAGGATATTTGCTAGCAGATAATGGATGTTAGTTTAATTTCTCACTTTTATGGCTTTTTTGCCATTCTTCGCTGTATTCAATGTCAAGTGGACAAATGTTGTTCTTTTTCTTTAAGATGACGTATGGATTGGGAATGTCAGAGGTAGTCGACATTCGATGAAGCATCGGAATTTTTCTTCAGAATCTCGAGAATTCTGGACTTTCAGTTGGCATGAGATGGGATTCTATGATATTCCAGCAATGATTGATTATGTTCTGAATGAAACGAAGTCACCACGAATATTTTACATCGCACATTCACAAGGAACAACTGCATTTTTAGTTTGTATGTCAACACGACCAGAGTATAATGAGAAAATCATTGAAGCACATTTAATGGCACCATCAGCCTTCAGAAAGAAGTTACCGAGACTGAGGACAGTCTTGTATGGTCTCAAATTTTTGGTAAAGCGTAACAAACCACAAACAGACTTAGCAATTCATTAAAAAATGTTTTTTTATAGGATTCTTTGAAAACTTATCGATATTTGGAATTGAGTAGAATCCTTGACGTGCAAGACTCTGTCAGCAAATATTTATGTAGAAAAGAAAAGCCACGCAGATTACGATTGTGCTTAAGAATAATTTCGTTTCTTCTAGGAATTAAATCAAATGAAATTCAACTTGATGTTGTAAGTTTTTGTTTCTTAAAATTTGATAAGAAACTTTAAATATTTTCTTTTAGAGTATTTTGCCAAATCTTAAGCGATATTTATCACCAAGAATCAGCATCATGCAATTGACACATTACTACCAAAACATGATCAATGATCGATTTAGATGTTTCGATCACAAGGAAAAGAACATGATTTACTATAATTCATCAATACCTCCTGACTATCCATTAAGTGAAGCGGTAGCGCCAATTTCTCTCTATCACGCTGAACTTGATTTGTTTGCATCATTTAAAGTGAGTTATTAATAGATACTTAATTAACTATTGCAAACTAAGTCACGAGACGTTTTTCAACTTTTACTTTCATCTTCACATCTGAATGCGAAAAGTTGTGAAAAAAAAACAGAAAAACGTATCAAGGTCAGTCGAAATCTTCTATAAAAAAAGTTTTAAGTTGAATAATTTTTCCGTGACGGTAGTAAAAAATTGTTGTTTCTAAACTACACGCATATAAAGTTCATTGTCTTCTTACAAAAAAAAAATTAATATTAATTACATTCTTATATTTAAGGGTGTCCAATTCTTAGCGCAATCACTTCCTAATGTTAAAAATCTACGTATGATGGTTAATTGGAATCACATTGACTTTGTCTACAGCAAATATTCTCGAGATGTTCTTTACTACAATATGTTAGAGTCCTTGAACTCGTCATCCTGATTATCTCTTTTCAAATATTTAAATTTAAGTAAGTTTGTCAGACAGTAGAGAAAAAAAGTTAAGATCTCATTTAAGATTTTTTTTTTCAATAAAGAACCAACACATTAAAGATATGTAATCGCTCGAATTTGTGCTTAATCGTGTTTTAATATCTACTACAAAATTTGTTCACGATTTTTGATGATGATTTTGTTCTGTTCTAAAATAAATTTCAGTCGTTTTTCAGCATCCAAAGGTGTTGCGTCAATTTGGAAGTTAAGCCATGAAGGTCATTTTAATTATTTGCGTGATTCTAAACTTTAATTTTATTATTAGTAAAAATACTGATAGTGTATTGAAACTTATTTATAATGCTGGATTTGAAGGCGAAGCTTTGGAAGTTGTGACCGAAGACGGCTACTTACTGAAAGTTCATCATTTATTCCCAAGAAACAATTGGAACAGAAAGCCGCCAGTCTTCTTAATGCATGGATTGTTCGCCGCATCGGATGATTATGTAGTCACTGGGCCAAAAATCGCACTTGCTTATTTACTTTCGGAGGCTGGTTATGATGTTTACATGGGCAACGCCAGGGGAAACAAACACTCCGTAAAGCACAAAAGTTTATCTTTCAATTCACGAAAGTTTTGGCTGTTCGGTTGGCATGAGATTGGATATTACGACGTTTCAGCGATGATTGATTACATTTTGGATAAAACAAAATTTCCTAAATTATTCTATGTGGGACATTCGCAAGGAGCGACAGCATTTTTAGCAATGATATCAACGAGACCTGAATATAATCAAAAGATTATTCAAGCACAACTATTAGCGCCAGCAGCTTTTGTGAAAAATTCTCCACATCCGCTTGCTAGCTTTTTTGACGATCAGATTAATAATCGGCGACTTTTAGATAATTATGAATATTTAGACTTTGTTCGCTACTGGGATCTTGGAAGTGAATTTAGTGCATTATTTTGCAGAGAGCATTCAAAACTTTTAGATTTGTGTAAATCAATCATATTTTTGATTGTTGGAAGAAATAGATATGGCGATGAGATTGATCCGGTGAGTTATGGTGAAGAATCAATGAAGGACTTTAAACTCATTGTTGAAATTTTATTAGAAAATTTTAAGCACACTGGTTCAGCACATTTCGCCAAGAGTTAGCACAATGCAACTTGAGCATTACATTCAATTATTACACAGTGGAGAGTTTCGGCAATTTGATTATCGATGGAAGAATTTAGCACGTTATAATATGACGACACCACCAAGATACAATCTCGAGGCTATCACTATACCAATTTATATTTATACAGGAAAAGAAGATTTGCTTATATCACCCATTGTAAGTGCAAAAAAAGCTTTTGAATGTAGATATATTTGAATGATCGAAAAAGATTCTTAGTTTTATTTTTTTCTTAAATACTCAAGAGTCAAATATGTATCTTAAGTATTTGAACATTATTGTTGACTTTTGATACATTCAAAGACTGAGTCGATCTTCAATCATTTTATAATTTTATTTTTTTTCATTCTATAGGATGTGAATCGTCTGGTAAGGACGTTACCTAATGTCCAACACTACGAATTAGTTCGAAATTATAATCATATTGATTTCACTTATGCTAAAAGTGCTAGAAAAAATGTTTATAAAAAGATTTTAGGATTTATTGAAAATCCAAAAGAAAATCAATAAATGGAAAAGAAAGACACGTGAATGTGAAAAAATTGTTTGTATCTACTCAAAGAAATCAATTCATAAACAATAATTACTTCTTATCTTTAGTTTCATTCAGTCAACAACCCGCCTACGATAAAGTATGAACAACAAGCACCATCTGACAGCTGGTTATCAATAAAGATTCCATTTGTTTTCTTTTTCGATCATTTTTGATGTGGAACAACGTTGTGTGGTGTTGCTTTCAAAAGATTCATTCATAAGTGTGCATCATTCCAGTGCAACATGACACATGACAAATTGGAAATGCGGCACAACAAAACGTACGAAAAGTGAATTTTGTACGCACTTCATACAGAATCAATCAACAACAAAAATAGAACTTCAAATTTTACAGTCTGCTGTAATATTTCCGAAAAGAAAATAGAAAGTGATTATATTTGTATTCTAATTAATTGAAAGTGTTGTAAAGTATTTTTGACAACCTAATAAGTAAAATTTAAGTACTTCAGTAACAAGTTAATACCGGAAAGTTCTTGAAAAAAGGTTTGTAAAAAATATTTTCTATTTTTGTTTGCTTCAATTTCATTGCCGTCAAATCATCTGACTGAGAACTTAAAATGGAAAATACAATTCCTTTTCTAGCGGTGGAATTTTAACTAAATTTTTAGTTTAATCAGTCAGTATTAGAATGTGTGTCGTCATTTAAATAGGCTGAAAAATTCTCATCCAAAAAAAAATTTTTCGAGACCATTTTTGGCAGAAAAAGTGAAAAAAAAATTGGTTAATAAAATATAACGAAGCCCAGATTATATGCGCAAAATCCAAACGACGTAAAAGATTGAATATCGTATTCGTAGTATTTCCAAAGAAAGAAAGAAAAAAAAGTTTTTTTTACAACTCCGTGACTTCCAATACTCGTCTTCCACGAACACGATGAATAGTAAAAATTTGTTTCGTCTCCATCTCACTTCCACTTTTCATTCAAGCATTGATGCTGTCTCATTCTTTTTTTTCTTCTTTTAACTTTCGCATTCGAATGTATGTTTGTAAGGTTGCCCAACGTAGAATGTCTTTTTATGTATCAATATGTATGAACGCGCACACAGATTCGTTTATGGTGAGTTTTTCATTGATTTTTCTATAGAGCTTTCGTCGTCTATTCTTTGCTTCTTGCCCTTGAAATTATCGAGAAGTTCGGCAACTTTACGACCGGCTTCAGAACCATTGGCAGCACCCAATGTCATTAGACACTTTTCACGATGACTCTCATTAGTTGTCGATACAAGATGCTCTTCAAAAGCTTTTGCTATCCGCTGATTTATATTAACAGTGACATTATTATATTTTGCTTTATTCTTTTTCCCTTTGGAAGATTGAGATGATGAATCCGGACTTGATTCGCGTTTTTGTGAATGCTCCTGGCTTTTCCAAGGATTTTCCATCGCCTTGCAAGAAAAGAAAAGAAAGAAATTTCCTCATATTAATAGTCATTCTCAACAAACACGTACGTTCGAGTGCTGAAGAGTACGAAAATATCATGTTGCACCACGTCTCATTCTTTCTTTATGTAAAAAATCGTAGTAGCACCAATATAGTCATATCAAAGTATGATATAATAAAGTAAAACACGAACCGAATGAATAAAACTAGAAGAGAATACGCGAGAGTCGCGTTTCGGTTTTCAGTGAGAGACTGTTGTGTGTTGTCTGTATTGCCATCATCTGGATGGACGGTTTTATTTTTTCGCTTTTGCATTTATTTTTTGTGTTCCCTTCATTTCGTTTGGCAGAGCGAGAACACGAGCAACTATTCTTTTATTTGACTCGAAGAAGTAGTGAAAAATAGTTCAGAAGTTGAGTTCTCCGTGCGATGATATTTTTTGTTTAAATTTAAGCAATTTGTAGAGTTGCTTGTTACTGAAAATTAATCTGGTGACTTAGTTCTTTGGAATTCTAAAACTAAAATTGTGTTATCGTGAATTTATCTTTTTTCCTCTCGACTCAGAAGTGTTTGAAACGAAATCTTCTTCAAGAAACTATTGTTAAAGTTCCAAGAATTTTTTAATCCAACGTGTGAAATTGAAAGCTTAAAGAACTTTTAGAAAAAGGCATATTTTCACACGAAAAAGTTGAGCACTTGAGAAAATCGATAATTGAGACATTAAACTAAGTTGGAGCGGCTCAACAAATTTCCCTACAACAATCTGAGAGACTGTGTGGGAAAATCGAAAGAAATTCTATGAATATTAAATTTTATTTCTAGATTTCGATAACACTTTCTTCGAATTGTAATAAAAATGTTAAAATATTTGACGCACAAACTTAAGACTCAATCGATTAACGAGGAAAACTCTAACGAAAAGGTGAGAAAGAATTTAAGGAATTATTTTTGTGAAATTTCCCACGATTTTGATGAAAACAAAAAAATGTTGAAAAAATTTCTATACCAGTAAAGTGTCGAAGAAAAAAAGTAATAAAACTGTCTGGCAAAAATAAGCGCTGTTCTTGCCTTTTTCCGCTAGAGTCATAAAATTTTCCAAACCCGCCATTGCATAGTAACATTTTTTTAACTTTTCTTTCTGCATGTTTTTCATGAAAATCTTACTATGTACATGTAAAAAATATTCTCGAGCAGAACTTCATGAGAGTGACAAAACGAGCGAGAGAGAACTTTAATGACATAACATTGTAAATGTGTGTGTGTTTGTGTTTGAATCGCTTGGCGGAAACAGGAAAATTCTCTCGCTATTTCGCAATCGTATATTTTCCACTTTGGCTCAAAGATTTTCCGAACATGACTTTGAAAATGGAAAGAAATAGAATTTTCTTCATCTTCTTTGAATCGACAACGAGCTCGTTGCTTCTTTTTCTCAATGGAAACGTGAAGGTTACAAATGGAAGCAAAAAAAAAACTACGAGCTTGCTTTTGTAACACCAAGAGAGGAAGAAGAAGCTATTAGAAAATAGTTTTTATTTCGTATAGACTTACAGTTTTATTGGACAGTCTCGTGCTCTTGTACCATAGCAAATAGTTCGTCGGTAGCTTTCAATTGATGTCGTTTGTTTATAATTGAACCTTATCTGTAAGTTTTATATTCTTTTTAGAATCAATTCGCAAAGTGATTTGCGAATGTTGATTGCTAATGTGTTAGTCAGGTTCAGCCTACGAGGGTCAGTGTGTCATTGATGTAACATTTTTGAAATTTCTGAAAGTTTTGAAAAGACGTTAAAAGTAGCAAAAAGGTTACGTTAAGGTCAAATGAAATTGTTTATTGTTACAAAACTATAAAATGATCCAGTTATATCGTAAATGAGATCAGAAAATATTCGCGCTGTGTGCTTAGCTGATTTGTAGCTGAAAATTAAATAATGAAAAAGTTCTTTGTTGAGTTATTTAATACGAAAACACTACACACCCACCAATTCTATTGTCTTTATGATAATTAAATAAATTGTACGTTTCAATATTAACTATTCTTTTAAAGAAGTTGAACAATAAAATCAATATTTAGCATTGTTGCTCACAGTGAATAAACGTTCGGGATGGCTTCACGAGAGTCGAGAAAGATGAATTTTAGATTCTTCGCTGAATTTATTCAGATTCTTTCATGGACAAGTTATAAAATTTTAATGATTGAGAACAGCTTGAGCTCGTCATGAAGATTGCCAATATTTTATTTAATAGATGATTCTCTTGTTTGAGGAATAGTAAATATTGAAAAACTTTAACATCTTTTGAAATCAAAGCATCTTTCAATGGTCTTGCAACATTCTTGATCCATTAGAAAAGTTCTTCAATGATGTCTGTTCATAGTTACGACTTCTGATTGAAAATGGAAAGCTTGTAATCGTTTGTAATTCCTCAACAGAGTCTGTCTGCTGCTTATAAAATCTTCTTAAATTCTTTCATATCTTGAGAAAGAAGAAATCAAAATTCTTTTTAATTTCATTGCAACATTTATTGATATATCAAGCTTATTGTTCAGGTTTTATGTTGAAGATTCACTTCAAATACTTCGTGTGCATTGAACTTTTTTTCCCTTCTATTCAATTATTCCACGAAACGAAACATTATTTTTATAGCTCCACTGTGCATTCTGATAGAGTTTCAATTGTGAAGCGTCCAAAAAGGAAAGAAACTTTGTGTTTGAAAATTATTGTCTGAATACTTACTATAGCGAAAAATCTATGTAAGAAATCATTAGACTTTAATTCGCAACTAAGAAGAGTGAAAGAGATGGAAAGAAATGAAAAAACTTTTCATTTATTATTCCATGTTGTTGAACAATGGAATGAACAAAGCAAGCATGAATGCAGCAGAAAATAAAGCTCAAAAAGCAATCACATTGTATTGGAAACAGTAAATGTTTACGATTTGAAACTCAAACAGCAAAAAGAATGAAAAATGAAAAAGAATTGATTTGCCAATGTTGAGATTTATGGCTTCCAGCGAGACAGCTCACGGTACCATAATAATAATAACAATAATGTTCTCATCGAGATCGGCAAGAATCGAAAATATAAAAAAAAAGAAGAGAAAGAAAAAGACAGCACAAAAGTGAAATAAAATTTTCCTGCCTAATACGAAAATCGTGATCACGATAAGTGTATTAAAAACATGAAAGTATATTATAAGCAAATTATTGAAAATGTTTCACTGTTTCAGTTGTTTTCAGTAAACGAGCGAGAATAATTCTGCTGCTTGTAAGTCGAGCTTTAAGAAGACAATTTATTGCATAACCCATTAAACTTTACATACACACACTTAAAATGTACCTCAAAATTTATGACCTTTTATGTTGGATAAAATACATGGAATGCTCAAAAATAAGAGGAAAACCTTAAAATGTTAATTTTATGTGTATTGATAATATCAAGAAAACGACTTTTTACTTTTAAATTTTATCTTAGATAAATTTAAAAGCAGTAGAATTTCCCTTTCAAAACATTTTCATTCTCTTTACACAAATATTGTAGAAACCATTTATGTTGTAAACTTTTTATCAGAAAACCTTTTTGTTTTTTTCATCGTGCTGCTTAAATCACCATCAAGTCCCTTTTTAATGCTCGCACGAGTTTGCCAAAAAAAAAAAGAAAAAGAGAAGAAAATAATCGTCCAGAGAATGAAAGAAACAATTATTATTTATTGGAACAATGTATCATTATTTCTGCCACGCTCGCGATTCATGCAATGAAAATTTATTGTTCTTCGCTTTCGCCATTGCCGAAACCGTACGATAGAGCAAAAAAAAAAGAAGGTTTTAAAGGATTTATCACGAAAGCTGCAAGGAGAGAAACGAAGAGATTTTAATGCTGCTTGCACTGTTGGATGCGATTTATTGTCCGCAGTCGATAAGAGATTCAAGCATAAGCGTTTCCTAGGCTATTTAGTCATGGTTTTAAAGCGTGCTGTGTGCACACAATGAAACCGACTCGAAAAAGCTTTCAAGCGTAAAGAGAGAACGTTCCAAAATTGTCCTGAATGACCTTGATTCTTTATTCTCGTTTCATTTCTCGCTCCATAAGAATAATTTTATATCGTATTTTATTGCTATTTTTATTCTTCGCCTCCTTCACACATTCTTTTTTTTCTTCTTTCCTCTCGTTTTGCTTCCAGTGTATAGTTCATTCTTGTTATTTTTCTTATTTCAACTTCATAAGACTGGTTTTATTTTCTGCTGGCTGGGATAGTTTTTTTAAATTCTTTTTGAGTGTAAATATTTTTGGTTGTTTGTATTTGCTCGACGCAAAGAATAGAATGCGAGACGAGAAAACATAAAAATTCTTACTATGAGAGTCACGTCGTTTCATTTTTGGGATGCGAGCGAGCGAACAGTCAAACAAGTAAGAGAAGACACAGATTGAAGCAAGCTTTTTTTACACAAGCAAACACCAGCCAGAGACATAATAAAATTTGAAGTTTGAATTAAATCAGTAGAAAATGTGTTAATGCTTTAATCATTTGCTTCACCATTGACGAAACTTTTCTGGTGTTGTTTTTCTTCCTCCCGCTTTGCTTTTAGTTTCTTTAGAATAAAAACAAAAACGAAGAATAATGCTAAGAAGTTTCCGTCTTAAGAAGTGAAGGCACATTAAGCATAATCAAGACGGAATGTCGTGAAACAAGATCTCCGAAAAAACATTTCTCCTCAGTTCATGAAAGTTTAATAAATGCGGGTGCTAGTTGGAGGAGAACAAACGAAAGCAGCAGAATGAAATAAAACTAAGAAATTTTCAATTCTTCTTTAACTTTTCTTTTTTATTTTGTAAAACAGCGAAACGGAAAAAAGTTGTAAAATTTTTTTATCTTTATCCCTATGTGTGTCGTTCTCGAAATTCTCGCCGAATAAAACGAGTTGTGCAACAACAAGAAGATTCCAATTTTGACTTTACCTTCAGTTGTATCGGGTGAAGAACATGATTGTGGAACGTAATGCAATCACTGAGATAAGATGAAAGTTGGCTGTCATGACATTACGGTTAGCAATCCTAAACTGAGTGACTTTTGCATGATCCAAGCACTTTTTACACTCGACTCGATTCTCGTTTCTTTTTCGCTTCGTATGGTTTCCATTGATGGTGAAATAAATCGTATTTTCTTTTATTCCCCAACAGCAAAACTTCAACTAGTAAGCAAGCAAGCGAGCGAGAGTGGTTTGGTGTGTATGGCTTTGCATCTGTAAAAGATATTTGTTGGCACTTTAGTATTCTCTATGCGTTGTTATGTCGACGGGAGCTTACGGCGTTGTTGCAAGATTACATTACACGACACTGAAAAATGCAACATCAAGCAAAAGAGCCACTTTTGTTATCCTCGATTTCTATTTGAACAATAATTAACCTTTTACAATCATTTACTTACAACTCCCGCTTGATCGTAATTCCAAGTTGAATTAAGGGAATGAGAAAATGAAGTTTGCTTGCTAGTGGGGACGTAAATTCGATCTGATCTTGTAGGAACGAATTACATGTATGAAAATAAAGAGAAGTTGAGACGAGTAAGTAAGAAGACTAAAGACTAAGATCTTGTAACGAGAAATTATGGTTTCATTTCTTTCCTTCTTACTTACCTCCGCACATATTCGGAGTCATGGCAAACGTTTACGAAGACGTCGCAAAGCGAACAAAAAAAATCATTTGTGTAATGTACACATACAACATTTAATGTTAATTAGTTGTGAACGATGTGGGAATTTCATTAATATTTATTATTTTCATTAGAACTCTCGGTCTCGGCGTTTTCTCGAAGTGGATTTGATTCTTTTCTTCTTTTTTGTCTTTATTTTGTTTTATGCATTTCTTTCTTTCTTTTTGTTCTCCTTCGTTTTTAACCTTCAACAAATGTCAAACAGACTTTTTCTGAAATGAATTGATGGATTATTGATCTTGCTAAAGCTTGTAACTGTCAATGAAGCTGATTTTATTTTCTCTCTACAATGACCTGACATTTTAACCTTAATTTCGATCGATCCTATACTAAATACTGATGTGTCTTTGTCTGCCTCTTTCACAGATTGAGTGTCACGATTCTGGAACGGAGTCAGATGGTGATTTGGATACTGAAGACTTTAATGAACGAGATATAGAATTAAGTGAGTATTCTAAGCTTTTTATTTCTCGCGTTTTTGATTGCTGGGAATCATTAAAATGCCATTTCATGAGATCGTCAATGTACGTTCTTGAATGAATTTTTTCATTTTTTCTTTCCTTTTTCGGGGCGCTTAATGATCTAGCGAAATCACAATGAAATCTCTCATAGCCCCTCCACCTTCTTTCCATCTTTAATGATTTCCATAACGATACAATGTGCTTCATAAATGGCTTTCAGATAATGTTTATGTTAGATTTCTTCTTGCTCATTCTCATGTTTATTTTTGAGTTAGATAAATATACCTACTTGTAATATCACAAAACCTAAATGTCTATTATTTAAATGACGAAAAATGTTGTGAATTTAAAAACTTCCAAGAATTGTTGACATTAAAACGACGACTTTCACCTCCCTTCAATTAATCAACAAACATTATGAAGGCTCCCTGAAACAAGAATATTTTAATCAATCAAGATGCTCGATTATTTCAGCTTAGGAAGCTGATTAAATTTTAACGACCTCATTAATGGATGAAATAAATGAAAACAAAAATTTCTTTTAACTTGACAAATACTGAAATATTCATTTTTGATATGTAATTTTACTTTATGTCATTCGAAAACAATTTTTCGGGTAATTTATTTTCTTTTCCTCTTTACTTTTTTAAACAACAAACATCTAGATATTAATTTTCATGACACATGCACGCAAATGAAACGACATAATTTGACTTGAACGCTTCACGAGTGTATCCTCTTGAGAACATAATTTTCCATTATTAATAACGTGAAGGAATGTTAAAATATCAAGATAAGTACATAAATATAAAGTTGAAGGAATGAAATGAATCAAGTACATGAGACAAGACAATCACACGGAATTCTCTTGAGCCATCATAGTCTATGATCCATATACATTCTAAGTATCTAGTCATGATTCGTTACTTTATATATCTTCATATTTCGTTAAGGCGAAAAAAGAAACAAAAATTAGAACTAACTCAACTTTTCATTTCACAAAGCGCGGATTCTTGACATCTTGACTTTAATGTCTTGCCTCGACTATGTAAGAAGACGAAGATGAATATTTGAAGAAGAAGACGAGAAATGTCAAAGAAAGAACATTTTCGAATGGGCGAGATGTGAATTACATAATTTATTTTTTGTTTCTTCTTTGAAATAATCGTTGTCGACACCCAACGACTCTTTTCTCTTTTAATATTATTCTTTCATGATGAAAGATGCTTTCTTGGGTCGAGAGAAAAGAAGAAAGAAAGAAAAAAACTGATAATCTGCAATGCTAACAAAAGTCTTTAAGAAGAAAAAAAAACATAAGCGAATAATTTTTTTTTCGAAAGAAGAATGAAAAGAAGAAAATAAAACCAGTTCTTGTTCATTGCGATAATCAATTTACACAAGTTGAGTAAAATACTACGCGACAGCATAATAAGGAATTGTAAATTGTACTTATTTTATGCTTCCAACGATTGTATTTATCGTCAATAGAGTTGAGAAAGAGCAATAATAAAGACTCCACTCTAATGAAGTTCAAATAGATTCAAAGAGACAAGCTGCATAAAATAAAAGTTTAATAAATAGTTGATGATGTACTGTGCATGCAACTAAAGTGCTATGAACTTACTTACAAAAGTATACAGATATGAATATAGATTAAAAGTACTTTACTCAGTCAACCTACCAATACTTTTGTTAGCGCATCTCAAAACGTGATATTTCATGCGTGAACTTGTTAATTTTCACTCGAAAATTCTAAAAGCGAAAATTGGCAACGTTTATCGAGCTAAGTAAATATCTATACGCTATAATAATACATCAAGACAAGTAGGGAAACAACAGAGTGGAATGAGAAGAAAAATATTTGAAATACATACTTTTTTTTATTATTTATATTCACTACTATCTCGTTCTTCTTGAAGTTTGTAATGTGAGTAAAATGAGACTGGTGACTGTTTTGAGTATGATCAGCAGAACACAACACAGCACAGCACACAATAAAGTCGTGTTTAGTGTGGGAGCGTACTTTAGTTTTGTTGCCATGAACTTGACGAATTGATTTAACCGACAAAGCAATTGAATTTCCTGCTAAGACTTTACATTCTAAATGAACAACTCCCTCCATCATCGGCACTAAGTGAGTTTAAATAAATAATCTCAAGTGCCTAAGGAAAAGTAAGAATAAAAAAATATAAAATAAATAATAAAGTAAAAAAGAGAAGGAAAAACAAACTGAAACAGAATCGATGGAAGTTTACTATAAGCTCACAGAACAAAAAGTCGAGTCATATACAATCGAAACAAGAGGAAAATGAAGAAAACAAAAAAAGTTGTACAATTTACCGGTTCTCAGTCCAATACACAAGTGAATTTCGCTTGCGTAAACGAGTGAGAAAGAGAGATGGAGCGAGAACGTAAATCGTTTTTCTTTCTTCTTCATATTCATTTCGTTCATACAGCTTCACATAAAAATCGTTTAAGGAAATATGTGTAATGCACATTTCGTGACGATTACCGAAGCGAAAGACAAAGAAGAGACGAAGAAAAGAATTTCGTGATCGCACGAGACGAGTTTTGCTCAAGGGAAGAAGGCCGTAGAGAAAGTGAAGATGAAAGATCTTCGCTTGTCTGTTATCTTAAGTGCTTTTTGTTTGTCTTCATATATATTTAAAAGCATTTCAAGTTTTCTGTTTTCTAGAGGAACGCAAATACTAAAAATTTCAAGTTTTTCAACATAAAGAAGAAAATAAAATAAAAACTAAAAGTTCTAAACTCCTAATTGAAAGTTTGTCGGAAGCTTGAGTTATGAGGCGAACGAAAGTCAAACATTTAGTGGTAAAAGATTTTACGAGTATTTACATTTGCGAGGAATTTTTTTATTATTCAAACGAATTTAAGTATTCAGAGCTTTTTTCGTCAGTCTGCAATCTATCAATCATTGAAAGGAAGAAAATGAGTATCCACAGTGAATTATCAGCAATCGTTTAAATCATTGATATCATATATCAAATCAATATTTAATGTGTTCATATTTCATGTAGTAATTAGAGGAATATTAATTTTTCAAAATGTTAGAACATTGAAACATTGTCGGAGTTGAAAAGTTTTAGAAGTTTTCATTACAATGCGATGTATTTTGTGTTCCTCGAGGCTAGACGCTATTTATAATATTCACTCATTAAATGTTTAATATTTATTCACCTGAAAGCTAAATTAAAGTAGAATTATGTCATCGTCAGAAATAATGGAATTCAGATGTCATCAACCCAACAAATCAACTTCAGGTTTTCTCTTCTCTGTTTCGGAAAAGATGAAAATTTCATTTCAAATTAAAATAGAATAGGTAATTATACTTCAACTTCAGTCAAATTAATTATTCAAAGTTTCTTAAGAAAACATTTAGAAAGCTTCTAATGTCACGTGCATGACTTTTTTTAAAAGGATTTAAAATTATTTAAGTGTTTTAATCAATCTTTAAATGAGGTCATTTTCGTAGATTAATGAAATTAAGCCTCAACTGATAAGAGCTACACAGAAAATTCTTATCGTGCAATAACATTTATAGTTGAAATTTGTTTCATGTAATATAATCTCGTGCAATTAAACCGTATTGTTAATTATTTCATGTCATTACTACAATTCAGTCAGCCTTATCAGTCGTTAGTTGAAAGGTAGAAAATTTCTAATTACAAATATTCGCTTAAAACTTTTCTAATCTGATGAATTTTAAAGTTTATGTAGCATGTGCCTGTTCATTGATAATTTATTTTGAAGCAGGGACTGAAACTCGTTCTAAGTTTCAGGATACTTCCGGATTTGTTCACATTTTACTAATTTAATTCTTTAAACTAGTCTTTCAAGTTCTAATTTTTATTTAATAAAATTTATTTGTTTCTATTCAAATTCAATCCCTGCTTGAAAGCATTTCTTATTATCTTAAATGTTAAACATCATGTCGAATACATTACGACAACTGATATCAAAACAATATTTAGTTTATCTGAAATAAGTAACGTGAGTGCTTATCAGCCGTTGTACTCCATTAATTAAAATTGTTTATCTTATCGTATATTTGAAAACACTTCTTGCTTTATCAGTTTGCAAGTACAAATGAAATCAAGACATCAAGTAAATATCGAAAAATAAGAAAACATGTTTTTCATGTAACGAAAGTCAATTTGTGTTGTATGAAATAAACAATTAAAAGTTACACTCGTGCTGAATAGAGTTGAAATTTCATCAACTTTAAGAAATGCTTTTAAGGAAAATTAGGAACTTGTTTTGTGGTATTTTAAGTAGAGAACTTTCTTCAACATTTCTTCCTTTTAAACTTTGTTTGGTTTAAATGATGCATAGAAAGTTGAAATATTCAGTGAATCTTACAATATTTCATTCCTCGGTTGAGATTCACTGTTGAAACAACACACGTTGGGGAAAAAATAAAGTAAGAAATTTTCATTTTGCGTCATACTTTTAAATTTCTTGGCAAACTTTTGATGTTTGTGAAACTTGAGAATAATGAAGCAAACGGCGACTTGGGGTCTGTAATGTCGATGGAAACACACAATTATGTATGTATCTAACGTGTTGCCAATTATTTTTTGTCTAGATAGACAAATATTTTGAAATCTGTCAAGACAACATTCTAAACTTTTTTTTTCTGAAATCTTGTCTTGCTTATTTATATTCATTTGAAATAAATCATTCCATTTTTGTTGCCAGCGGAGACTTTTTTAAAACAATAAACAGCTTTAATGCTTCTTTAAATTTTGCTTAAGGGAGGCGTCAATTATTTTCCACTTAATTGAACCGAGATAAATTTTTGTTTACACTCCAATTACATGATTTTATTATCATCAACACCCTCAACTGATTTTCCTTTTATTTTCCTCCTTTTAGCGATTGAAAATAAAAAAATATTTCGGACAATGTTTCCGGTTATGACTTTGATGCGTATCGATCAAAAGAGAAAAAGTTATTCGTTTGATGAACGTCATGTGTAAATTTCACTCGTGAAATTGAATCTCGGAACATTTAAGGTTGATGGAAAACCTTTTATGATAAAATTATCAGAAATTTATTGACATTCTGGCAACGTCGCTCATATCATCAACTAATGGACACATTAAATTCTTTATACAAGTGATTTCCATTGTTTCTTATTTTTATTTTCTTCGAAATGTGATTGTCGCGATTAAATAACCACACAGACATTGTTATTTCTGGACTTCAAAGACAATAAAACAAATGCTTTTACCGATAATTGTTTTTATTTGCATTTCGGTGAAGAAGAAAATACAATAATGAGTGGTGGAAGGGGGTTGGGTGAGAATAGTAATGGAGACATCGTGATAAGCGCCATTAATTAATTTGTCGTATTTTTCAATTTAATTAATGGATCAAACTTCTTTTTTATGTTATCAGAGTCGAGAATCAGAGAAAATTTGTTACTTTTTTCTCTATTAACTTTTGTTTCCACCCCCACCAAAGACAAAATAATTCAACATAAATGAAGCTCATTGTTTGAGGTTTAAGTGGAGATACATGATTTCCATAATGAGCTGCCTTTAATGTTGATAAATTACTCACCACAGTCTTAAACGAATTTAATCCGAAATTAATTGCATTCATCAGCATTGCTTCGAATTATTTCATGCTGAAAAAGCAATTTTATTCGCGGACTTAATTTGCATGAAATTTCGAGTTAGAAGAGAACGAGAAAGCAAATAACTGATAAAGAAGCTTGACTCGTTAAATATAGCACTCTCTCCCTCTCTCTCTCTCTCTTCCCTATTGATAAGCAAACAAATGAGACGAGTCAGCATGTCGATTTACACATACAAGGCGACGAAATTTTTTCCTCTTACATTTTGTTGTTGATTTCTACTTAAACTTTCGAAGTTCTTATCGCATCGTACGAGAGAAAAAAAAACATTTTGATTAAAAGTTGTTTACTTGATTGTTGATAGCCACGCCAGCTGATTAATGAACAAACATTCTATCATTTCTTATTTTTTTTCTTTTAAGGTATGAGTTCACATCATGATAAAACATCGCCGGAATGTTCCACTGGGTCGCCGGCATTCTTAAGTCCTTCTTCGAATCTTTTCTATGATCAACATAGCTCTGAAGAAGAACTTGAAGTTATTATGACAAAACCATTAGATACGCTTGTGGAAATGTCATATAGTAATGAGAATATGGACCAGAATCAAAAGGTGAAGATTAATCATGAAGATCGATCACCGAAGCGCTGTAGCAGTTCCACATTTTTAGAAAAGCGCAAGCGTTCGCTTGCTCATAATTCAGATGATGAAGTGAGCTTTAATTTTTATATAAGTAACTTTTCCTAAATTATTAAATTAATTTCTGTTATTCTTTAGGTGAGACAATTCCTCGAATCACATTCATATCACCATCATAACATGTTAGCGCCAGTCAATTTTCGAACATCGCCTCCATTGGAAGCACTGAAACCCCATAGAGGCCATTTGTTGCTGAATCATCAGCATATTAATCGTCATAGTCCACATCAGCCACTATCAGTACAACAGCGTTCAGTAACGCCACTCATTCTCGTTGAAGCGGGACGTGGTATCGAGAATATTCGAATATCGTGTGATAGTCCATTAACGACCTCAAATGGCAGCGGAACTTCGTCCACGCCATCTTCATCATCCTTAGACTTACGTTCAATCAGTCCGCCGGCGAAAGTTTTTGCTGTTTCGCCGCGCCATAGAAATCGAACGCCACGCAATCACCAATTGCAGCGACTTCAACGACGACCATGTTTGGACTTTGATAAGATGCAAGTAAGTAATCGGATGATATCAAGTCCTAGCGTGTAACGCGTAAAGAAATTTTAATTCTGATTGTCTCATTTTAATAAACAATCGTAAATTATAACACAAGAAAAAAATTGGAAAAGACTGGAAATTTCGTTTTTCTTTTTATGATAATTTATTGGTTGCGCCTCCAAAAAGAATTTTCATTTTTGCCCTTTTATAATTTTTTTCTTTTTTTATTTTAGTTGAAAGCTCGATCGGTCACATCGTGGAGCAGCAATGATGGTGATTCACTGTCAGTATTTTGCTGGTGATAAGTTTTCATAGTTTTTTCTACTTGCGCAAATTGGAAATTGTTTTGTTATTTTTTTTCTTTGAAATTAGTTTGTCGATCGATTCACTTAAGGACGGGTTGAGTTTTAGAAATTGAAATTGAAATCCTTGTAATTTCAAGTTCTCTTTAATAATGAAAAAAAAAATTATAGCAATGTAAGAAAAAATAATCAAAAGGGAAGCGCAGTTGTTAGTCTGGTGTTTCTTAAGTGAATCTCGCACAACATAGAAGAACATCCTCGGTTCTTAATTAAAACTTTCTTTCGCAGCTGAACATACAAAAGTTAATTCTTTTGTGTACAACGGAAAAGAAACTTTTTTTTTATCAATTTTTTCGATTCTTGGCAATTTGAAATGCTTTTGAGTATGAAAAAGTTTTTTTAAGTTACATGACATCAAATTGTTTAAAAGTTCATGATGTTTCATTCAATTATTGTTAGAAAAAGCTGCAGGGAAATTTTGCAGTTCAAACTTTTCTTTCTCGAGATTTTTAAGGAAATTTTTCTTTATCTTCTTCTTATGATTGAAGAAACTTGTCGAAGAAAACTTGTCGTTTATCAAAAGGGAAAGAGAAATATTGAACATGAAACAATATTTTGATATTTTTGTGAAAGATGAAATTCATAATGAAAAATTGATGAAAATGTTAATATAAAAATGATGAAGAGAATTTTTGAATCATCGTCATTATCATCGAAACAGTCAAGAATGAATTAAAAAACAAGAAAGAAAATTGAAAATCATCATTTGATAAGATTTTAAGAAACATTTGTAATCATTAAGCAAGAGAAGCATGAAAACAAACACACATACACACAAATTACAATTAATTTATAGCTCATAAGTGAAGTGGAAGAGGATTGAGAATATTATTTTAGAATTTTTATAAGTAAGATGAGAAAGGTGATGAAACTCACATATTAACATTGAACGAAAGTCAAAAGTTCTTTTTTTATAAAACATAATTTTGAATTCTTTCCCCACTTTCCAAAAGAAAGAAAATTGTTTTTCTTAGACACTCAAAGCATTATGAGAAAATGAAAAATGTGCAAAAATTTAAGAAAGCATGAAAAGCAAATTTGTGATGAAGAAAAAATGGAAAATTGTTTGAAAACAACATGTATGATGTTGGTAATTGAAGATAATGGATTGTGAACTCTTCAATGGTTGGTCATTGAACATGATAGAAAAAGAAACAGAGAATGAAAATCTCATTTATCAAGCAAAAGATACAAGAAACGAATTTACTTTCCCAAGCGAAAAAAAAAGAAACTGAAACTGTGGAAAAAAAGAAATTTTTAGTTTAGATCGAAGTGAAGACAAGAAAAAGAACTTGACAATTTTTGCTCCATTTTTTCGTACATACAAAAGTACATTCAAACATTTCATTCTACAATATAAAAAGTTTTTAATTTTTCTAATTTTATGGTTTTGTTGTATTAAAGCATTAGAACTATTAATGATTACTTATCTATTGAAGTTTGGTAGCTTGCGTCACAAAACTACCTAAAATTAAATAAGAAAGGATAAATCTACTATTTTTGAGCGACATTCGATAAATGATTGGAATGTCATAAAAGATTGGAAACTTTCAAAGAATTTTACAAGAGGGAATGTTTGAGAAATTGGAAAAATATTTTTACATATTTGAATAATCTTCAGCTGATGGAACCAATTGAAAGAAAATAGGAATGAAAACCATTGAAAATTAAAAAGAGGGAAACAAAGAAAGAAATTGTTACATTTAGCTTTGTAGTGAGATTGAAAAAGAAAAAAAATACTTTTCTTTGATGTCAAATTTTCTACGACATCAGAAATGAAGATAAAATGTTTTCTTATTGAACGAAAAGTTACTTCTTTCAATGATGGAATAAATAATGGAAAAATTAACTGATTGTTTGAAATTTTACTATTTTCAGGATTTTTAAAATTCAATGATATCAATAAAATCGAAATAAATTTTTCATTCGCATCATTTTTCAGATTTCAAGTCCAAACTTCAAGTCCATGGATTTATATTACTAGCGCCATCTTTTTGTCAAGAACTTAACCAAAGTTTTCATATTTTCTGAATCTATTCGTTTGAAAAATATTTAAATTTTTTCATTTAGGAAATGTTTTTACTAATAATTTGTTTTAATAATTTTAGAAGTCTTAATCTTATTATGGATTACATCAATCACCATGTAAAATAAAATGCTAGTCCCAGTTGACTATTGTCTATTGTCCTGGATTATTTCTTTTTTTTATTTTAATGGAAAGGCAATCATTAGTTAACTTTCTCGAAAATTATGACCAAGACGATGAGAACTCCTGTGAACAAAAAATTATTAGTGCCGAGTGCGCAACAAATTATCGAATTGATTTCGTGGAATTCTAAAATTATTATTTATCTAGAAGTCGGTCAAGTTTGAAGTTTTGAATTTCAATGTACACATATTTAATAATCCTGGTTTACTGCAGATAAAAGTTTAATTCTTTAAAGACATTTTTATTTGATAAGCGAAACGAATATAGTCGTGAGACGCTTTAATTCTTTTCTATATTAGTTTAATTACCTTAAATAGCTATTTTCGGCAGCAAAGCTGTCATCATCAGAAAATAATTCTTATTTTAAATAGTCTAGTAGAAGATAGAAGTCAATTGCTAAACTAAATTGACATTAAAAGTAGTAGTTTTATGTTTTCTTTTAAAGCAGTAGATAATTATTTATCAATTTATAATTAATATAGTATCACAGAAAATTAATTAAACTTATCACAAAGTATTTTTAAAACTGATAAGCTGCTGTGATTTTACTATATAAAGAAGTTTAATGTTCATAAATATGCACTAACCACCAAACTGTTAAACCTACTGACAGAAAAAATGGCAAAGTTTCTTCAATTTGTGATTCTTGTTGCTTTGAGCATTTTTATCTCAGCTAAACCTTTGGCTCCTGGAGTTGGAATGTTTGGAGATAAATTTCAAGGAGATATAAAACTGACCGATGAACAAAAGGAACTTATATTTGGAACACCTGAAGGTCGAAATTCTAGAACTGGATGGACTTGGCTTCCATTTCGTTGGCCAAAAAATGGTCAAGGGCAAGTGATTATTCCTTACCGTATTACTGCTTCACAAGGATTCCGTAAATCTTAATTTTTATTATTAATTTGTTTTCTAAATTTTCTCTGTTCAGCTTATTAATATAATGAAATTCTTCCAGAACAAGATCAAATAAATTGGATGCTTCGAGAATTTGCTGATATTGAAAGAGCGACTTGTGTTCGCTTCGTTCAACATACAACTCAAACCGATTTTGTAGATATCGTCAACGGAGATGGTTGCTGGTCATGGATGGGGCGTACTGGTGGAAGACAAGAACTATCTTTGGATACAAATGGATGCTTCTGGGATGGAACAGCAATGCACGAAGCAATTCACGCTATTGGATTTGATCATATGCATGCTGATGTCACACGTGATAGTCATGTTTCAATAATGTGGAATAACATTCAGCCTGGAATGGAAAGTGCTTTTAATATGGTCGATCCTCAATGGTTCAGTAGTTTTGGAACTTCGTATGACTTATGGTCGGTCATGCATTACCCAAGATGGGCTTTTTCAAGAAATGGACAAGACACAGTTGTGCCACACGACCGTTCATTTCTGGATATCATTGGAGAGACTGGTGCCGTTTCATCAGGTGATGCTTTAAGAATTAATCGCATGTACGAATGTTAAATATATGTCATTGGGATATTCTGTGAAATAAAATCTTATTGTTTCCTTTTTGAAAATTTATTTTACTATAAATTATACTTCATGTCAGTTTATTGATCTATTTGTTTTATTCTTTTAACAATCCTTTTTTTATTCAAAAATTGTAGTAATATAATAGTAATATGTATTACAAAGGGAAATTAGTTTTAGTTCATTGCACAGAAGCAAAGTTGACTAAATAATTTAATCAAATTTAAGCATATTAATTCAACATATAGATTGATAAATTTGTCCAAATCTATGATTTATTTTAAAGATATCCTACCTCGTAGGGAAATTCACTTCAAAACATTCTTTAAGACCTCAAGCTTATGGAGTTTAATTTACAGATACGACTTTTCTCTTATCTATGTGATTGATTTTATAAGTTAAACCTTCAATTATCTATAGATAAAACGTGATCAGAATACAGTGCATTCACTTCCTATACACTTATTTTATCTTTTCTACATATTTCTAATTTTACAGATAAACTTTATAAAATTTTTTATCAAATT